AGATTGGGGGAATTCAGGCAAACATGCCATGGATGCCTGGACAGGTATTTTGGATTTTCTACTCGCTGCTTCCTAAACCCCCCCCCCCCCCCCCCCCCTTTTTCTTTCTTTTCTTTCACTCAGAAGACAAAGTATTGTCAAAAAGAGAGGGACTAAGCTTGTGAAAGCATAAAAAAGGGGTGGTGGTAGTGTCTAGGTGGTGCATCCTTCTTCATCTTTTCAGAGATTCAAATCAGGGGTCACTTGGAGGGTTGAAAAGAAAACCTGGTAGAAGGTCTTGTGAAGGGAGCTTTGCTGCAGAATGGAGCAAAAAGAGCAGAGAAATGTCACCAACAAGCCTCAGTTTACTCAAATGTCTTTCATTTATCAGAAAGCAGCTTGGTCACACAATAAGAAAACGTTTTTCTTAGTGTCTGGTATCCATTACAGAGACCTTGCAGGAACTTGGGTGAAATACACCAGATCCTGACATTTGTGCCCCATCAATGGCCGAACTTACCGGCTGGCTGTAAATTCAACCATTTAACACGATGTCAAGGCTTTATTTTGTTTGGAAACATTTTTCTGGGCCTCACAAGGATTTCTTTTCTTTTTTAGATTTGCTGACTCACAAGACACGTGGAGGATTTTGTGAGAAATACTATTTGTCGACACTAAAGCGCACACACACTTTAAGTGGACTGTTATCATACTGCGTTTCTTATCTTGCCATTCTGTGGACTTTTGTCTCAAAGTTAAAGCTCGTCAGGTCGTGCTACGTCTGTTCATTTTTATTACCATACTTGCTTCTTCTGTCACACTAATCAAAAATGTTTAGATGAACACTGAAAACCCATATTTTAATTATCATGATTATAATTTTTGATAATTATGGGTCACTCAAAGTTTTTCATGCAGGCTTAACATGAAAATTGTCTCCTACACCCATCTCCTGCATTAGCTTCTGATAGAAAACGGTGAAACTCTAGAATTAAAAAAGCCTGACGGATCTATGTCACACTGTCGCTTAACATTCATGAACTCACCCATCTTGACGCAAGATGGCAAAGGCTGTTGTTGGTTTACCGTCCAGGAAACAGCAGAGAACCTTTCGGCTAACAGAATCTGTTAGCATTAGCAACTTCACCACATGGCAGAACTCCTCCAGGCTTGTGTTATTTATGGAGATAAAACATCAAAGTTGCAGAGCAAAAGGAGTCAGTGGTAGTTGAGCTGCTGTTATCCAATCAGAGCACATTTAACTAAAAACATGATTTCACATATCAAACTTGGATTGATGATTAGGATCTAATATGCCGTAACTGTTGCCATTAAGAAGTGTTACTTTTTACTTTTTTTTTCATTCCTGTTGCATACCACCTGCTATACAGATGGCCAATCAAATATTTAAACAGAATCACTCCCAGCTAAATGTAGAAGCTTTTTTCTCCCCACATTTTTTCTCAAACTGAGTCACCAGTACTCATGGTGACTTTTTAACCTCTTGTTTTAAAACCATGCTACGCAACTTTTTCATAATTTTAAAGCATTTTCTTGAGCCAGCATGTCCTAAAATGACCCTCACAGACCCCCACCACCATCTGTGTGCAGAAAACCGCATGTGCAAATTCTGAGTGCCCGCCCAGTCTGTTAGAAAAAAATGAGGCTGACCTGGCACTACAGTCTGGTTCCAGCACGTTTTCTGCATGTTTTAGATGATGAACACAGCTGATTTGTTTCCTTTAGTGATGAACCGCTCCTGTAGAAACTAATGAAGGCTGGGTAGACATTTCAGCTGCTCACAACGAGAAGATAAGTTTCACTTTTGGCTTTACTAAACAGACACTAGGGGGTGTTAAATGCAAACAAAATTGCCAAGAATGACTTGCCTGCCTGAGATTTGGGGGGAAACGTTTTTTAGCATAGTTTTGAAAGAGCTCTAATATTACTAGAATAACTGCTACACTATATCTTTCCTTTCACTTCCTGCATGTCAGATTTCTGCAGCCTGAACAGAACGTTTTGGTATCTGTCGGAGCTCAGTGTTGCAGCATCTCAGAGGCTTTTTCATGGAGGATTCGTGTCAGTGCTTCAGCACATCTTAGGCAGGTGGGGAGCTTCAGGCTGTCTCTTCCTCCCTCGAAACTAGGATCACCTTTTCTTCCAACCTCTCTGGATGCATGGAAGCTCGTCTAGCTTTGGTTGTGTCTTGGTCATTATCTGTGGCTGTCAGACTTGGCTAAGAGTGGGGGCAGGGGGGCTGCCAGAGATTTTGGGCCCCATGAAAAAATATCAAGTTGGGCCCCCTGGGGGCTCGACCATAGCTGGAGCTGGGGTTCCACCCTCCCAGATTCGAAGGGAGAAAAAAATATAATATATATACTTTATATTAGTGTTTCAGTTTTGCTTAATTATGTAGGTCTACATGCATTCTTACTTATTTACATATCATTTTCACCAGCTGTCTCTCATTAAACAGTGAATTTCCTTCAACAGAATTAGCAATATCACTGCTGGAAAAAGCAGGAAATGCACATGCTGAAAGGTGTTCATCTCCTTTTCCCTTTTACTCCCTTAAAATGTGTTTATTTATTCTAAAATTTTATTTCATGATAAAATTCAAATTTGGATATCTAATTAAATTTCCATGTTGTGTCAAAGCTTTACATAACTACATTTTCAGCTGTCTTTCCTCTTGAAATCAAGTATTTCTGTATGACTGACAAAAATTAAGGATTCACTGCTCACAAGGTGACTTCTTTAATAAGACTCCATGGCTTCATCATAGACACAAAATGAATGAGCACACAGTTCAAGCCGGAGTCAGTTAGGGTTACATAAAATTTTAAAGTTGGACAACTTTGCATGAATACGTATATACTTTGTCCTGAGCAAACCTGACTTTGGGAGGGTCCAGGCTCTGTACATAATGAAATTGATTTGTGTGTTACAATATAGGCTATCATTTGTGACAAAATCTTTATCCAAGTTACAACAGTCTTTAAAATTAATGCACAACAGGGAAAATGCAGCACAGACTCCTGCAGGATATTAGCTGTAGTTCTACATAATCAATACTAGATTTCATATTTTATTGTGTTCAATGTTATATTAAGTTTATTTATTACAATTATTAATAGTGTTTGCATCATTTTTGCTCTCTGGTGAATTATTTGGAAATTATTGATTTTTGGTTTGTGTTCTAAAAGCTACATAAACAAATTACATCTTGTAAAACCTCTCATAATTCAGTCAGATTCAAAACATTTCATTTCAAGGTGTTTAGTAGATGAAGAGATTTTCTTTCTTGTATGGTGCATTCAAAAAGGTGCTTCACAGTAATAATCTCACAGTAATTTATGTTACATTACAGACTAAATAACAATGCTTCAAACTGCCCAGCATCTAAAACCATCTATACATTTTTACTGATTGTTTTTCCTTCATAATGATAATTATATATATCAATGTGTTTATCACCAAAAATAGCCTTTTTATATTCCTTTGTTATAGTACTGATAGAGACGAGAGCCTTAAGTGATTCCCACAGACCCCCTTAAATGAGGCAGCTAGCTAACATGCTACATTGCTCACCTTCTTGAGGTTCATTGGGTTGTGAGGGGACACCTGCTGACATATCATCAGCTGCTGATACTGGTAGGGACAAGGACAACAACCCATTTACCATAATTAGCTGAAACATGGTTCCTCTCACTGTGGATATCACAGCTAGCAAACAGGTTGAATTTAACCACTCACTAACTAAACCCACCTTTCTTTGAGAAAAACTGTGTGACATACTGACGCCCTCTCTTCTGCCTGTCCCCTTTCTCCTTTCTTTCTTTCCTTTTCTTCGACCCAGACTTTGTTTTTGCAAACATAGTTTTACTGCAGCCTTGATGCACTCTGCTGTCTGACTGCTGCTGGCCTCGCCTGCTACGCGCCCCTCGGCCAGGTGGACTGTACCATTTTATGCCGTTGGTGGTGGTGGTGGTGGTGGTGGGGGGCGTTCAAATTAATTAGTCAGAATATAGTAGGCACCTTTGAATAAATATACATTTAATAAAGACTAAAAGATTGTTTAATGTCTTAAATGAGAAAAAATAGTACTTGTGATTTTTAAACTAACATTTTTTTATTCATCTTTGAAACTTTTTTGGGCCCCTGACAGCTGTGGGCCCTTAGAATCTTCCTAATCTTTCACCGCTTTACGGCGCCCCTGAGTGGGGGCGTTTGTCTGGTCCCAATCAAGAGGAACTTAAGAGGTTCTTAATTTTTCTTCTTTCTTTTCTAATACTGCCGCAAAAACACAAGCTCAGAACCTTTTGTCCCCACAAAGTTTTAAAAGGAGAAATAAAAAAATTAACACCTAAAGCTGGAATAAGGATAATTAAAAGGGGAGATGCCTTCTTCACCAGGTTTCTGAACTGGCTGTTACTTGTAGCTGTGACATGGAGGACAGCGTTTTGTGTGTGCTCTCATACGCCCGTGGATACTCTGCATCTTTTATGCTATTGTGTTTACTCAGAATTTAGAACAATAGATTAAAGCAAATAACTCTTTGTCTATGCATTCTTTGACAAAAAAGAACAAAAGGTCAGACTTCCAAACCGCTGGCATTATCAATTATCTGGCTTTTTGTTAGCGGAAGCATGTCATGTGACTCCTTCCAGTTGTCATAACCATTGACTGATCCGCTTCTGGTCTGTTGCCATTCAGCTGAGATTCTAAAGGGTCAGTTAATGTCTCCAGTGCATCCATAACCTCATTAAAGCAGGATGTAATTCAAAGAGATGAAGATGAAACAGCTCCCGTAAATTCATTTAGGAGAGTCTGTTTGTGGGATCTTTAGCATAATACCATACTAATAATTTATACAGCTTTTTGATGTGCGAGCTTATGCATTTTTTGTGTCTATAGTTTGTGTTTTCTTAGTTTATTGTGTTATTTCCTCAGTAATTACAGGCACAGTAAAAACAAAACCTGTTATTTTCCTTTTTTTTTTTTTGTCCTTTTTATAGAGTTAAAGTCCACCGGTACAGCTCACCACTTCTCCTTTCTGCTCAACTCGACCGACTATCGGATCCTTCGCATGGACGAGGACCACGACCGCATGTATGTGGGCAGCAAAGATTATATTCTTTCTCTGGATCTGCACGACATCAACAAGGAGCCGCTCATAGTAAGAAAGAAGAGCTCGAGGCAAACATTAAACGCAGCTAGCTCATCGTAAGTTTGAGGCTAAATCGACTGGTTTGTTTTGTTTTCCCTGCCAGATCCACTGGCCTGTTGCATCCCAGAGGAAGACTGAATGCATCTTGTCAGGGAAAGACATAAACGTAAGCCATCAGGAAAACCAAACACAACAAATCTGATAATCTACGGATGTCGTTAGTTTTTCTGAGCAAGCTTTGCAAGCTTTTTGGTTCCAAGTTCACAAATAGAAGGATGGAATTTGGGATGATCCAAAAATAAGTGAGTGGCTAGTAAAGCCCTAAAACCTTACCGACTAAAGAATAAACACAAGGCAACGCATGCAATTTACGTGTTTTTTGTTTAATTTTGTGATGCCAGGCTATTTTTTTTCTCTTGAGAAACGGCAGCAAGGGCAACAGTCGTAACTTCTACAGTTAGTTGTGGTCATTCATAAAGAAAACCAGTAGTGGACGCATCAGATACATTTTTTTTTACATTCATCCATAAAAAAGAAAAGTTGTTCAAAACAAATACACTATTCAAATTTTTGATGAAAAATTAATTTTAAACACCAAGTTCTGCTACACTATTTGGCATTTGGAGTTTAGAAAATTAGATTTTAAAGAAGCGTTGAAGTAGGGTTTTTTTTTTGTTCCATTCTGCTTCATCAGAACTTCTTCCTATTTTACAAATGCTGGTTGTTTTGGCGGCTTACATTGATGTTATCGCCCCTTAAGTCACAACCAATCAGCATGAACACCAGTCTTTGCTGAGTGACTCCACCGGGCCTTTTCCAAGTACATACACTAGTCCAGGTACTTGGTTGGTCCCCGGAATGGCTTGAAAACTGTCCTTTTGGGCCAGCCCAGACATGTGCATGCTGCAAAAGTCCAGTACCTGGAAGTTTTGATGGTGGAAATGGGCCTTTAGGCTATTTATAAAAAGGCTGTTTAGGCTTTTTTTTACTCCCCCTTACACACATCTCTTGTCAGGCCAGCAGGGAGAAAAACAAATGTACATGTTGTACATTTGTAGATTTTAGTAGCTTTTAAAGTACATATTTAGAAGATTTACCCTCCATCCCTGCTAAATGACTGAGTGACTTCAGTGTGCCTTTGTGTTGATAGCGATGGAGTGTTTTAAATATGGCACCCGGATCATTACAGGAGATTTCTGAACCGCTCCCCAGCGTGTGACTCGCTCTGAAGCTCTTACTCATTGTCTTTGCGTCCCTGATTGCTGATTGCATACAGCTGCCACCAATTAAGCTCTTGCAGGGATTGGAAAACGTGCAACATTTAGTCGTCTGCAGGAGAAACCCAAAAGCAAATATTTCCATTCAGCTTTTAGCATCAGAATCGCTTTTGCACAGTAGTAGTTTCACCCTTTGTTTGTCCCTAAAAACAAATGAAACGAGCTGGCCAGTGGACTCGACAGTCCCGTCTGAAGTGTTAATAAGATTCAGACATTCATACATAGCCACGCCGCCCCAACTGCCAACACGAGATGGAAACGCATCAATGAAATTCATACATAAACCAGATCCGTCTCTTTTGATTGTGTTCACACTTTGCACCACTCCCTTCAAACACACACACACACACACACACACACACACACACACACACACACACACACACACACACACACACACACACACACACACACACGCGTGTTTCATCAGGGCTTAGTGTTAGGGCTTGCAGGAGCACCACACGAGTGATGGAGCTCTGGCTAATCGCCCTGCTCCACCCTGCTGGGAGTGACCGCTGTTTATCCAACTGGAATGTGCATTTATCCGTGTTTGGTGACCCGCGCTGCTCTCTGCCTGTGGCTACATTCTACCCATATTATTTATGTGTGTGTGTGTGTGTGTGTGTGTGTGTGTGTGTGTGTGTGTGTGTGTGTGTGTGTGTGTGTGTGTGTGTGTGTGTGTGTGTGTGTGTGTGTGTGTGTGTGTGTTAGACTTTAAATTGAATCACTTGTTGGAGAAAAATGAAATAAAATTGCAGGATATCGTGACATTGGTCACCTCTGTGAATGAAAGACGATGACAACAGTTATCAAGAAAAGGACATCAGTTCAGGCAGGAGGTCAGAGGCAATCATTCCCGCCTCCTCCTGTGGCTTTGACTGCGGCTCCGCCTGTCCTATTGGTTCCGCCCTCTCTTGTGGCTCCGCCTGTCCAAGCGGCTCTGGATGGAAGGAAGCTCGTTCTGAATCCTTGAAGCGTTAAGATAACGCCAGAAATCTCAAAAAGTTTACAAACTAAAGCTGAGAGACTTTATTTGTTCTGCTCAAACGATGGCCCTTTGAAGCTAAAAGCTAAATGTTTGCATGGTGATGCCTATTCCCTACAGACGATCAGGTTATTTACCATGACATGGATGTTCGATGGTTGCTGAAGCGCCTCGTGTTAAAAAGGATATTGTGATATTGTTCACCTCTCTGTGAATGAAAGACGATGACAATTCAACAGTTATCAAGAAAAGGATATCGGTTCAGGCAGGAGGTCAGAGGCAATCATTCCCGCCATGCTCAAAGTGTGTGTGTGTGTGTGGGGGGGGGGGGGGGGGGGGGCACACGTGATGATGCATGCCCTCAAACCTCTGACTTGTGCTTCAGTCGTGTTGCTAAGAGCTGCCAAAATGGCTCATCCCCCTCATACTTTGTACAATTTCTTTTTTCCGGATTCCTGGCACATCCATTCTGTATCACCAGCTGTCACTATGACAGGAAACATGACAGGCTAATTCAAACGGATATCTTGCTTTACGGAGCTGGAGGTACTAGTTGGGAGGACTAGAAGCAGCTGTTCAGAGAGATTAGCGCGGCCTCTAAGTGCATTCCCTATCAGTACCAACACGTTCACATCATTGTCTATTGTCCTCAATTATGTATTTTTGTGTAAAACCAATATTTTCTTACAGTAGCCCAGCTCGGTCTAACCAAGATGTTTTTCAATCGCCACGTTTGAGTTGTGTTTAACCTCAACCCATTCAGCAAAAACTCCCACAACCTAAAAGCACCAATTTTCTTGCTTTTAACCCCCCTCCCCCTCACCCAAAACACACACACACACACACGGTCACTTATATGATGTTTGGGAATGTTTTTGCTCTAACAGTGCGGTCTGAAGCCTTGGGCAAAAACCAAAGCAGCAAAAATAAATGCAATCCTTCCCAACTGAAAAGACAAAGCATGGGCCGTATTTAAGCCAGGCAAAGACATTATTTACCAGAACAGAGAGCGCTGCAGCGCTATGTCTTATATAACCCATTTTATTGCTTTTTTGTGATCAGACTGATCTTTTTTGCCATAATAAAACCATAATCTGGTTGCATTATGCTCTGCTGTCCCTCAGGGGGAGTGTGGAAACTTCATCCGTCTGATTGAGCCGTGGAACCGGACCCACCTGTATGTGTGTGGAACCGGAGCTTACAATCCCATCTGCACATTTGTGGACCGAGGACGCAGGTCACAGGTAACCAAAGAGTTGGGACTAGGCACCTTTAGAGACATTTTGACCTTTGGCTCTTAAAGATCTAAATCAGTCAACCAGTCTCCTGCAAGAGCTAACGAGGTTTCTCTGGCATTATTTGGGCCTTTTCTCTTGTCCTATCACCAGATTTCCATTATTTCAAAATGGCTATTGAAGAGATACCCGTCAATTCTAAAAAGGAAACATCAGATCTTGTTATGAGTAGCTCTTTGAATGGAGGGAAACAAATTGCTGTGACTTACTGCTAGTCACAAATGTACATGTTGGGGTGATTGGCTTGGTGTTGTGTGTGCTGCTCGCGGACTAGTCTCTATGCCGCCAAATGCGAGAGCAGGGGGGGTTGTGTCTGCCCAAACTGGGCAAGCGGCTAACTTGGCTATGCGGCCCACCGGGACAGTGCCAGAATGCCAGGTAGGCCAGTCCACCCCTGGAGTGGAACAAACTTCATTTGAGAGTTGATGATTTAATCAGACTTCCACTTCCGTGGTCTCGCCACTTCTGGAATGCGAGCGTCCAACCATTTCAGCTCGGCTAACCCGTTTACATGCAGATTGTACTCGGATTGCTTCAGTCAGTTCGCCATCAGCCAGACTAACGCGTTTACATGCATTTAAGAAAAACAATGTAAGTCTTTTTAGGCCAAAACGTCAGTTTTCTGAGGCACACGTAAACGCTTTGACTGGTCAGTATCGGCCATCAAACCCTGAATCGGTGCATCTCTTATAGAAATGTCCCCTCCTCAGGGGTCCCCCCCACACCTGTTTACACACAGCAGATCTTTCCAAATGTCTGGCTGAGAGCCATCAGTACTGATGGAGCTTCTCATCCATCATCAGCCTTGTAGTTCACCCCTCCCTCCATGGCAGCTGCTGGACAGGTTATAATCGGCATGCTTGCATTCAACACGCTGTCTGTTTAGGCTCACTGTTCAATTTGGAGGCTTCAGATTTCAACATAAAGGTCAGTCTGCCTCTTGTCATTCTGCTTCTCTCTCGAGGCCCAAATGTTGTGTTACTTCACACTGTAAAGATTTTCCCCTGTAAGAGGAGACGTAAACATAAACCACCGGTTCAGTGATCCCTCTCTTTGCTCCAGTCCTCTCTTCTGCTCCGTCTTTGTGCCTTTCTGAAGCGCTTTCACACTTTCCCAGCTGATATTTCGCCAACATGTGATCTAATGTCATAAGTTTGAAGGAAAATATTAAGTAGTTTTACAAATCAATTAGACAAAAATAAATGTTTTCAATATTTTGAAGGTGCACAGAAATAAATTTTGATGTCATAAACGTGTTTTGGAATTTTCTAATGAAAATAATCATCTTCTTTTGACATTTGTTAGCATTTGTGATTTGAGTCAAACAGACGTGAGATATTCTTAATAAAGGTCTAATTCTCATCTTTTAACAGTTTCTTGAAACAGGTTTGAATGCCTTTTCCATGTAAATACGTTTTAAGTGCTTTTTTTTAGGTTTTTCATCTTTTTTTTAATAATTTAAACAAATTTTTCCTCTTTTCTTGCTCGACCTCATCCTGCACGTTTACATGGAGTTTCCAGCCGTTTGCATGCCACTAAACAATCACACACTTATTGACCTTTGTGCCGTTGTGTCACCTCCACTGTAAACTCCTTTCACCCTCTTTTCTCCATTTCCAGACCTTTTTCTTCTTAGTTGAGTCTGTTCAGTTTATTTGTTGCTTTTTTTTTTTATATCCTTCTTCAGTTTCCACCACGGTTATCCTCAGCTGAATCTCACCTTCCTCTGGGTTGTTAATTGTTGTTAACGAAGTGGCCAACTGTGCCATGTTTCTGTTTTTAGGGATTCCAAAACCTTCGGGCAACTCAGTCAGGAGGGAGAACAAATCGAGCAGCAGACTCCTTCACTACATCAGAGCCTTTGAACACAAAGGTGGGCTGGAGGGGTTTTTAAGACTTTAGTGCCCACCTGGAGAACATTATTTCAGTCATAAATGGATAAGTGGGGGTCATTTTTGCTACAATATTATGTTATATAATGTAATTATGTTACATTTGATGAAAGCAAACAAAAACTGAATGATTATTTTTGTTCTAATTTGCAAAATTGCCGACAGATTAGAGCTTTTTTTAAGTCACGCTACAGGTTTGCTCTGCTCTGACCAACATTTTTCTACCTGTCAGAGATCACCAGAACATCAATGTTGACACAGACGTTTAGCATGTATTCTTGCACTGTGGAATAATGGATATTTGTTTGGGCGACTAACCTGAGCAGCATGATGGATGAGTTTTGGATTCAGTTGGATTTATTTTATTTTTTCTTCAGCAGAGCCAATAAGTCTGTGAGAGGGTTACTCAGTGCCTTGAAATCATTTATTATGTCCCAATCATTGTTGCTTTATTTGAAAGTATTTGATAAATAAGATAAATTCCATTACAGGAATATATTTTCCGTCTGGAACCTGGAAAAGTGGATTCTGGAAAAGGAAAATGTCCCTATGACCCTAAACTCAACAGTGTCTCGGCATTGATCAGTGAGTACCTGCCGTGTTTTATTGTGCAGATGAGCACAAACCCACAAAAAGCATTTGATAAAAACCAAGTCAGCAATATGTGTTGTGTTTGTTTATGTCATGTTCGTGCAACTGCATTAAAGGGATACTACGCTGTGCTAAAACAACTTCATAGGGTTAACAAAATGTCAGTCAGACCCCTACTGCCTTCTGTGGACAGAATGCTGCATTTGCAGCTTCAGAGTACCCCTTGATTTGTGTGTGTGCATATGTGCTGCGTGCGTGCATGTGTGTATATGCTTCCGTATGTGGTGCGTGCATGTGTGTGTGTGTGTGTGTGTGTGTGTGTGTGTGTGTGTGTGTGTGTGTGTGTGTGTGTGTGTGTGTGTGTGTGTGTGTGTGTGTGTGTGTGTGTGTATGCGTATGTGCTGCGTGTATGTGTGCGTATGTGCTGCGTGCATGTGTATGTGTGTGTGTGTGTGTGTGTGTGTGTGTGCGTATGTGCTGCGTGCGTGGGTGTGTGCGTGTGTGTGTGCGTGTGTTTATGTGTGTGTATGTGCTGCGTGCATGTGCGTGTGTTTATGTGTGTGTATGTGCTGCGTGCATGTGTGTGCGTGTGTGTGTTTATGTGTGCGTATGTGCTGCGTGCATGTGTGTGTGTCTGCGTGCATGTGTGTGTTTATATGTGCATATGTGCTGCGTGCATGTGTGTGTGTGTCTGCGTGCATGTGTGTGTTTATATGTGCACATGTGCTGTGTGCATGTGTGTGTGTGTGTGCGTGCATGCATGCATGTGTGTGTGTGTGTGTGTGTGTGTGTGTGTGTGTGTGTGTGTGTGTGTGTGTGTGTGTGTGTGTGTGTGTGTGTGTGTGTGTGTGTGTGTGTGTGTGTGTGTGGTTACGGTGATAGTTATTTTTGACTGACGTGAGTGTGTGAGACGTGCTCTGTCTCTGTAACCTTTCTGATGAGATGTTATTAAAACCTTCGGACACCAAATGATGTTTCTGTCACTCTTGGACAGCATGTTGTGTTTTACTTTGTTTTTCTTTCTTCATCATTTCCTGTTTTTCTCTTTTGTTGTTATTTCTGCGGTGACTGACAGATGGGGAGCTCTATGCAGGAGTATATGTGGATTTCATGGGAACAGACTCTGCTATCTTCCGTACTCTGGGGAAGCAGACAGCTATGAGGACCGATCAGTACAACTCCAGATGGTTGAATGGTAATGTCTCAACTCGCCGCTCGGTCTGCGTTTGGCTTTATTTCTTTCACTTTGAATCCTTTTAAATGTCTTCCTCTACTGCTTAAAAACACTGTCTCACACGTTTCTCTTCAGAGTAATGATGACGCTTTCTGCTGAACGGTTTATTCCTAAATGAATTGTGCTTTTCTAATGATCGTCTACATGCCCGCACACTCTGCAGCTGAGTCAGTCATGACTCTGACGGCCTTTTCTCTGAAATGAACCATGATTGTCACAGTGGAATTACTGCTGGTCGGGTGCTTTGGGTTGATGTTGCCCAATCGATAACCCTCCCCTGTTGGCTCCCAGATTATCCACTGACCCAGTTGCCCTGACAACAACCCCCTGCCTGTGATGCACTAAATCACGACACCTGAGTCCCCCTAATCAACCATTTGAAATGTCTAGGATAACTCCCTCCCCCATGCTTTAGAGGAGCACGTTACTCCCCCTCCTCCCGTCTTTTGATTTGTCCCAATTTGGGATCTGAGTTTTCCACAGTGGGGAGGAGGAATTTGTGTTGGCGGTCCAGTGGTGACCCAGTGAATCGTCCAGTTTGATACAGATAAGGTTTCTCTGTACTATAACCTGTAGGTTTTTAGGGATATTTTGTATGTTCATCTTATTACATGTAGTCATGTGGAAACTTAAACAAGTTTTGCTTGACTGACTTATTAGTGACACCTTTATTCAGTTAACAAATCCAATTCCAGGGTCAACGGGTTGGTGAAGAAATCCCTGGTTTTGGTTACCATAACCCCTCTGATGGTCAAAAATGGAAAATCAGCTGTCGGTGCGCCCCAGAGCATTTGAGGCTACATCATAGCTCCTCCCCACCGGCGTGTGAATGTGTGTGTGAAAGATTGTGTTATAAAGCATCTTGGGAGGTTGTAGAACCCTAAGAAGGCACTACAAATACAGGCCATTTACCATTCGTCCAGTAAAATGGATTTATCCATCAAGAAACAAGCAAGCCAACAAATGCATGCTGTTCTCTGTGTTCAATATGGTTCAATAAGATTCTTCCAGGATTTTCAGAGTTTCAGAGGCAATTGAAATATTTTTTACAAAACATTTAATTAATTTGTTGCCATTGATTTGTTTAAAGTATTTCAAGCAATGTGGCAAAAAAAATTCCAGGAAAACAACTGCCACAGCACCTTTAAATATGTCCTTCATTTATTTATTTAATTATTTTTGTGTGTCACAAACTTGTCGTGCAGGTGGGATGTGCAAGAGGAGTCTTTTAAATGAATGTCGTGTGTCTGTTTCACTTCCTTCAACAGCTACACCAGTATCTCACTGGATCTGTTGGACACTAGCTAGCTAGAGGCACAAAATTGTGAAGCACAATCACAAGCACACCAGGCCTGCTGGTGGCAGTAATTCCCCAAATCGCAAATTTCTTGGACTTAGAATAACTAGGTGGCGGGCAATGATTATCCTTAACAACGTACTGTGCCTGTGTCGTTCTACATAAAGCAGTAATTGAACTTGTAAAAACAAGCTAATGAGTGTGGTGTAAACACAAATCGCACATGTAATGTCACAGCATTTTTGTTGGGGGCAGGATTGATTATTATTATTATTATTATTATTATTATTGTTGTTGTTGTTGTTGTTGTTGTTGTTTTTAAGTCCTGTGACTGACACACGGACATTGAGAAACCCTCTTAAATGTTTTGAAACTCCTTCACCAATGCTCATGTCTTTAGAGATGTGGAGGGTTTTCTTAGCAGATCAATCAATCAACTTTTATTTGTATAGCTCTTTCCATCATCCTCAAGGGGGATTCAAAAGGTCTAAACGCAGCCCAAATAAATGATAGGAAACAAGAGACCAGTAAAACTAGGATTAGAAAACAAAATCATTAGAAGCAAACAAAAATCTAAACTATTAAAATCAGATAAAACAAGTCACCGAACAGATTAGGGGAAAGCCAGACGATAAAAATTAGTCTTCAAGTGACTCTTACAAAGCAGCCAAATATGGAGACAGCTTAGGTAACTTTTTCCAGAGGGACAGGGCTAAAACAGACAAAGCCCTATCAATAGACCTGGAGCGAGGAACAGTAAGCAGGAACCAATCTGCAGAGCGCAGTGACCTGTTAAAAGACATGCACCCAGTGTCGGTACAGGATCAGCTCGGGTGAAGGATCGGCTCGGGGTCCTTCGACTGCCGATGACGTCAAAGTAGTTGATTGGCTGAACATGAAGCTTACGGAAGTTACGTTATCACGTTATGATTTTGATTGGTCAGAACAAATTTGCGGTCGTAGTCTTATCGGTTGTAGTCCTGTAGTCCAAAATCAACATATTTTGGAGAAAATATGTTTGAATTTCTAAAGGAAATGTAAAATATAAGCAAATGATAAACGGTGACCCTCAAAAGCTCTTGATGTTGATGAAATGGGGCAAAATAAAATATAAGAACTTTATTGAATGTATTTAGATAACAACTAAGGAAATATACAGACGAACTCCACATTTATACAAACAGATATGGCTTCACATATAAGAACTGTTCTATTGTTTGTCTGTCCAATGTTGGTTTTATGCAGTTTCACATTCTTTACAAAACAAAGATAATTATGGTGTTTTATTAACAAATTACAATTATAAAGAAAACATTTAGGTGTTAAAAACAAGAATTTATTAACACAACTGCTGATGTCTTTCCAAAACGTATGTGTGAAAGCCGAGTAGATTTGCAGTAATGTGACGTCATCGGCAGTCGAAGGACCCCGAGCAGATCCTGTACCGACACCGGCATGTCTTTTTAACAGGTCCCCAAGGTATAGAGGGGCACTGCCCAGAAAAAAACTGAAAGACAAATAAAAATTGTTTATACTGTGCCCGTTAAGGGACCTGACGTCAATGGAGTGTTGCCAGCACCGGACTCATATGGTCCCATTTCTTGGACCCCAACAGAAGACTGGTTGGAGCAGTCGGACCCAACCCAGTGTACAGAAAGTTACAGTAATCCAGCCTTGATATCACAAAGGCATGGAGTAATCGTTCCAAGTGTGACCTTGACAGCAACGGCTTAATTTTAGCTAAGCGACGTAAATGAAAAAAGCAGGAACATACAGCCAAGTTGATATGGGCGTCAAATTTGAACCCAGTCATGCCTAACACCTAGGCTAGTGACAGCTGGTTTCTGACATGGTGAGAGAGTATCCAGGTCAAAGATAACACCCGGGTCTGACCTAGAACTTGGGTTGAAGGTGATGAGCTCATTTGTATGCTCATTAACATGCAGATAGTTTGCAGCTAACCAAGACTTGACTGCATTAACACATTTAACCAGAGGCGTTACAGAGGCACCATTCCCAGGACATAGTGGTGAGGAGATCTGGCAGTCACCAGCATAAAGATGAAACTCAACACCATGCCCACAGAAGATGGACGCCAGCAGAAGCAAATAAATGGCAAATAAGAGTGGACCAAGAGTTGAGCCCTGCTGAACCCCTAACGCAGAGCCTCCCAGGAGGAAAGAACCTCTCCCAGTTTCACACAAAACCTCCTACCATGGAAGCAGATAACTACTTGAAAAATAAAGAAACAATCCTGTTATTTTTTTAATGGGCAAGAGAAATCATTACAGCTGTGAAAACTGTTTCACAGATATTTAGTTTTTATTTCAACTGAACCTTGTAGAGAAATCTGGAAATCTTTATGAAGTTCATTCCAGGTTCTAAGTCACATTTCAATAGTTTTTTTATTTCAACTGCTTGTAGATTCACTTATTTTTTTGCTCCTTTTCCTCTCTGTAGATCCCACTTTTGTTCATGCACACCTCATCCCAGACAGTGCTGAGAAGAATGACGACAAGCTTTACTTCTTCTTCCGCGAGAAAGCCTCTGAGATGGGCCAGAGTCCCATGACACAATCCAGGATCGGTCGGATCTGCCTGGTGAGTTATTGCACCAGTCAGCAAACCTCGCCGGTGAAAGCATTATCTGTCTCCAGAATGCCAAATTATGGTCTTTGGATTGTTTTTGTTCTATTTCTTTAGTTTCTTTGAGGCCAAAAAGAGACATACTGGTGTGATCAGCATAAAACCTAAACCCACCCAGTTGCTGGTTAAAAAATGAAATATTATCATTTTGTTTCAGCCGATATGTTCAAAATGTGTTTTTCTGGAGAGGTAGGAATGTTGACACGGATGGAGACTATCTTCATGATCAGGCTTGTAAACATGCTCTTGCATTAATGAGATGCATCCATTTACAAAGGATTTTAGAAAACCTGAATTAAACCAAACTAGTTCAACATAATTAGATGTTGATTTGTCTTAAATGTCTATTTTGACCTCAAGTATTTCTAACCCTTGCATCAGCTGTTTATAGGGCGAGTAACACCTAAATCAACTATTTTGCTGACAATCTGTATAGATGAGTGTCTGGTAGTGTTGTAGACATGTGTAATCATTCTTTTGGCAGTTTAGTGCAACTTACTTTAAATTTAATATTTCAGTCCAAAACCATAATTATATCTCCATCTTCAGGTTAAAACTATGCCCCACATTGATTTAGAATCAGCCACAGCTGATTGCTCTAGCCCTTTGATGCATGAATTATGAAATCTTCAACCATGGTTTTTTTAACAATTTTTTTTTCATTTATCTTTAGGTGTGAATGAAACACATTTCAACAAATAGTTTTTGTAACATTTAATAGTTTACTAATGATTTATTACATGTCCATCTCAGTGGACAGCGTGCATTCTGAACATGAAATATGTTGGCTTGACTTACTGAAGTCCAAATGGAGGGGCTCAAATGCAATAAAGTCTTCAACAGCTGTGCTTAAAAGCAAAAAAAATAAACAACTATTTTGAGTACCTGTCATCGACATACATATATGGGCATTGGGTTTCCATAGCCTCCAATAATAAGTTTTTGTACTAAAATGGGAGGTGGCCACCACCGCCATTTTGACCGTGTCACAGGTTTCGTCAAATAAGCCCAGACAGTTCCATAAAAGGGAAGAGAGGTGGAGCTGAGGGTGGGGCTGTAAGGCTGGGATCAACTGACGACACCCGGTCAAACTAGCTACAAGCTAACCTGAAGCTAACCCAAAGCAAATGCTTAGGTGGGAGCTAAGCTAACGGAGGTAGCAACCTAGCTACAACTGGAGTTAACTGTGCACAACACCAGAGCTTCTGAGTCAGAGATACGCCGGGCTGACCGCTGGGTAAAACCGGGTGGAACACAGAGGTCTCCGAGAGCTCCACAAGCCGGCAGCCGCAAAGCAGACAAGCGCCGCTGCAATCTGAGATGCCCAGAGCTGCCGCTGGGGAGAACCGGGTGGAAAGGTTTCCATCCCAGAGCTCCACAAGCCGTCAGCCCGCACAGCAGACAGAAGCCGCGATCAGACAGAGATGCACCGAGCTGCAGGGAGGGGAGAACGGGTGGAAAACATCGGTCTCCCGAGAGCTCCACAAGCCGATAGTCGGAACCCAGCTCCACCAACATGTTATATTTCAACCCATTTTCTAAAGTGCAGCATTATGTTAAATGCACTGGGTTTTACCCTATTACATTTAAATTTCATGGTTAAACAGTACATGTTAAAATCTAAGCTCAGCTCGGCAGTGACCTAAAATACATAAATATAATTTTACTTACCGAAAAAAATGAAGTGGAGACTCCTTGGACGCTCTATTAGTGCAATTAATAATAATAATAATAATAATGCATTGAACTTATATAGCGCTTTTCTAGACACCCAAAGACGCTTTCACACACTCTCACAATTAATGCCACAGCAAGTCATTTTGTCCAACAATTGCACAAAAAATATCCAAAAAAGAATACACACACACACAGTTTCCAAATCCCGGAGCAGTTTCCAAGCCAGACCGAGGCTCTACTGAGGCGGCCTTTCCACGGAGCTAGCTCTGTGGTCACGTGAGTCTGATGCTCATTATTATACAGAATTTTAGGCTTTTAATACACTTAAACAGAAGAGTGAGAAAAAAATTCACCCCCTCAGAGTTGTCATGAGTGTAAACTAGATCATTTAAACAAAAAACATGTTTTGGAACCAGGCTGTAAACATGTTTATTTCTGCTGTGAAATTGATATTTTTAACATGGGAGTCAATGTGGGTTTGCTCGCTTCTGACACCAGCCCCCAGCGGATGAGGGTGGAACTGCAATTTTTGGTACTTCAGGGTTGAGACCAATTTTAGAGCCGCATTGTGGGGGCTTGGTACCTGTCCACTATAGTGACCATTATGCATCAAAGGGCTAGAGCTGCAGGATGATGTTGTCTATACCATACTACGTGGCTGCACTGCACTGGACTCCCGCTGAGTCTTGCCGCACCTCCACCTGGGTCAACCACTCACCTGCTGATATGACATGTTGGCACTCAGAGCCACTGGCCTCCTTACGAAAAACGCCCTACCACCCGTTTTTCTAATGAACACGATGAACAGGAAATCTTCCTTCCTGCAGTCAATCAATCAATCAATCAAAGCTTTATTTATAAAGCGCCTTCCGCAACCCTGTCAGGAAGCCCAAAGCGCTGAACATGGTACAGTTGTAAGTAATTATACTGAATAAATCAACAATAAAAGAAATTCAAATTACAAAATACAAATTACAAAATACAAAAGGAAAATAACAAGATAGATGAAACATTTCGGTAAAATACAAATGTGTGAAACACAATTGGATTGAGTGGATGGATTGAGTGTACCAATGAAAACTGTGGAATGGATTCAACATAATAGAGGGCCATAATCAAACATGTTCTGGAAACGCCAAGCGGAGGAGGTGTGTTTTTAGGTGATTCTTAAAAACTGGCAGAGAAGGGGACAGCCTAACTGAGGGTGGCAACTGCTTCCAGAGTAACGGTGCTAGGACTGAGAAAGCCCGGTCCCCACGGGTACGACACCTAGACCGAGGGACAGCGACCAGGCCTTGGTCAGAGGAGCGCAGAGCGCGTGATGGGGAATGTTTGTTCAGGAGTGTGGCCGGATAGGGGGGAGCACCACCCTGGAAGAAATGATAAACAAAGACGAGTATTTTGAATTGTGAGCGATAGGAAATTGGGAGCCAGTGCAGGGAGGCCAGAACTGGACTGATGTGGTCCCGTTTCCTGGTCCCAGTCAGGAACCTGCCAGTGCTGTTCTGCACAACCTGTAGGCGACGCAATGTTGACTGACACAACCCTGCGTAGAGAGAGTTGCAGTAGTCAAGCCGAGAAATTACAAAGGCATGCAGTACCCGCTCCAGGTGGGCTCTCGACAGCATATGCTTGATTTTAGCAAGGCGTCTCAGGTGAAAGAAACTGGACCGGATCACAGAATTGATGTGAGCATCAAATTTAAGTCCTACATCAAGTTTCACCCCCAAACTGGTAACAACTGGTTTTGAGTATGGAGAAAGAGGGCCAATATCAGCATATCGATCCACATTCCTGCTGTTGGGGTGAAAAACAATGAGCTCTGTCTTTCCCTCATTCAGATGTAGATAGTTGGACATTAGCCAAGACTTCACCTCATTAACACAGGAGACAAAGGACTGGATAGAGTGACCTTTCTCCTGACACAATGGAGAGTAAATCTGGCAATCGTCAGCATACAGATGGAATGATAGGCCATGTTTACAGTTTCTGTGTTTACAGTTTCTGTGTCTGCTCTTCTCCTGAGTGGTGAGTCTGCTCTTTGTGTGTGCGAGTGTGCACACACGAGTGTGCACGCACTTGTTAACGATTCCAACTGAGAAACTCCAAGAGGGCATGCAGGGGGATTCACGGGGGTGCTGTCAATCATTGCCTCAGTAGATCTCTCTCAGTCCTCCAGGCGACGCCTTTTTTCCAGGTGGTTTTCTAACAGGAAGTCTGGTTGAAATAAGTCCCCACCCATGGTGTCACTCCCACTTATGACCAAGTTTACTAGTTTTTTTCAACGCATTTGCAGTAGTCTCTAGTATAAATAAACGCCCTGTGAGTCAACATCTGTGAGAAAAAAATTCTGAAGCTCCTAGTAGAAGTTAGTTGGAGGAGAGGGAAGCAGAAGATGGCAGGGTTTATTATTCATTTATTATTTTTATTGAAAGTTTTATTCATTATTATTTCCTGATATTCCTAAATTTCATCTCTGATTTGCTGACAGCAACGTGACTCTTCCACTTGTTGTTTGCTCTGCAATGTTGATGTTTTGCCTCTAAAGGTAACCCAAGCCTGAAGGAGTTCTGCCGTGTGGTAGAGTTGCTAATGCTAATGGTTAGCTTCTACTAGCCGTGACATGCTCTGCTGTTTCCTGGACACCAAATAAACAACAGCCTTTCTTGTTACTAGCCAAGATGGGTGACTATGAATGCAAATTTTAGTGCGGCATAGATCTGGGCTGCTTTTCTAATCCAAGCATTTCCCCGTCCATGTTCTAGTAGCGGCTAATGCAGGAAATAGGAGTAGAAGGCTATTGTCACATTTAATTTCTCAGTGAACTTGGCCTTTAAAATTGTTTATAATTTATTTTGATTTCTGGGGATGTTGGAAAATGTTTAGAAATAAGAAATCTAACAAAATCATTGATAGCAGCTGGTTGACCTTGTGCAGAAAGGACAAAGGAACCAAAATCTTATTTGTTCCTGCTGACTGCCTTCCAGAAGGACCACTTTAAGTAAAAAGGCCAGTTGTTCCAAACAGCTGTCAGAAATTGTTTGAGTCATCCTGCTGAGTGATTATTTGAGGATGACTTCTGTGTCTGTCTTACAGAACGACGATGGCGGACACTGCTGTCTAGTCAACAAGTGGAGCACGTTTCTGAAGGCCCGTCTAATCTGCTCTGTCCCTGGAGCGGACGGCATTGAGACTCACTTCGATGAGCTGCGTGAGTTAGAGCATTTTCCCACTTTCCCCCTGGTTTTAACTCAGAATCTGGTATTTTCTGTAACTCTGAATGTTACACACCGCATCTCCCTCATCAGTTGAGTCCTGACTTCATCACCTGTTGGTCATTTGTACTCTTCAGACAATCGGAAACTTTCTTTCTTGCAAGGAAAACAAACTGCGGCTGTGGCATTTTACAGATCGATTTCCACAAATTGGTGGAACCTGTAATGGATCTGCTGGGAGGCAGCGGGAGCCACATAATGAACATGTTTCTGACCTCTCAGAGAAGCTAGCAGATGGAACGTGAGCATTTCTAAATGAGCGAGTAATCACAACTTCTCAAAACAAGCGTCTGCAGATGGACTCCATGTTGACAGATTCAGTATCAACAACTTTGTCATTTCTAGAGTTCACTTCACATTTGTGTTGCATAGTTCCAGCATGATGTTAATCCACATGAACTCATGTTTTGCAGCACCGTGTGTGTGTGTGTGTGTGTGTGTGTGTGTGTGTGTGTGTGTGTGTTCCAGCTTTAAATGAATGTATTATTTCCACATGATGACATCTGATTTTGCTTTGATTAATGTACTATCCAACTATGCGTTGTTTTTTTTGTTTTTTGTTTTTTTTGGCCAAAAAGTTGAGCAAATAAGACTAAATACTGAGTAATAATAGCAATGGGTTTCTGGGATCAGCCCAGCTTCCAGCAGATCATCTGAGCCCAGCTGTCATCCACATGACTGACAGGATTAAGTAGGAATATGCTGGATTCCCGATATTTAAATGTCAAGTGGTGTTAGTGGATACTTGTGAACATTTTTATATAACCTGTAGACTACTTTCTAATTTTTAATATATGTGTGTGTGTATATATATATGTATATATATATTTTTTTTCAATTGGAAGTTAGGATTAATGACAAAAAAGCTAAATTGATGTCAAAACCAAGCTCAATTTCAATTTTTTCAGTAAAAATAAAAAAAAGCATAAAGAAAACAATCAATAAATTCTGTCTTTTTAGGATGCAAGTTAATGTTGAGACAGAATAATGACAAATTTACAAAAGGAAGTTCAACTGGAGGCTAACAATACAGACTGATTAAGTGACTCAATGCATTTTGGGTAAAAAGTCTGCTCTTAATCAAACCGCATTGAGTAAAAGGATGATTGTGTCATTTTATTTAAAAAAAAAATCTTAAAGGTGTGGATCACGGTAAAAAAAATTGGATTATTTCTGATTAATCAGTCACTGCAGTCTGAACATGAAAATAGTCTCCTACACCTTTCTCCTGCATTATCTTCTGATAGAAAATAGACGGTGAAAATCTAGGATTTTAAAATCTTCGCAGATCTACGTCACACTGTCACTTAACATTCATAGACTCAACCATCTTGGCTCATGATGTGAAAGGTTGTTTTTGGTTTATCGGAAACAGCAAAGCATGTCTCAGCTAGTTAACCATTAGCATTAGTAAATCCACCCCACAGCAGAACTCCTCCAGGCTTGTGTTTGTGGCGATAAAACATCAGTTTTGCAAAACAGAGTGAGTGTCATGTTGCTGTTATCCAATCAGAGTCGAGATGTCCAAATATAAGGAAATAAGACACCAAATCCTGCTATTTTGTGCCGCTCCACACACCTGAGTAAGACTACAAAGCAATCATTCATACTAGAAACGACTGCAAATGTACTGATTAAACAACTGTTTAAAAGTTTAAAAATACTTTTGGGGGGGGTCAAACTATGACGGCATGTTGGGGTCACTCAGAAAAAAAAATATTACAGCTCATTTTTTCAGCGGTACATTTAATTTTTTTAATTTGTCAATTAATTTATTAAAAACTACTAAAAAGTAACTTTCCTGAAAGTAATTAGATATATTATTTCACATTTGCCTATTTGTTTTGTTTTTAAAAAGAGAAAAAAAAACAATACAGTTTGACGTAATATGGATTTTTATTTTCACACGCGATGCACATAAGTTTCCTAAAGTTTCTTCCTCTTAAAAAGCTACAGTTGATTTGAAATTTACGAGGTGGCTGAAGTTGGGTTCACTGTTTTTCCTAAAGACATTGACATGTGTGGACTCGCCCCACCAAGAATTGACCCAATGACCTTTAGCGTTGTAGACAACCGCTTTTAATCCTGAGTTACAGCCCTCGTCTTGTTGCTCCCTCATGGTTCTCAAGACCCTTACGCCCTGGATGTTTTACATGTTTCCCTTCTTCACCACACCAAATTCAAAATGTGAGGGTCAATATCCAGATTCTGCTCTGCTAGATGACCCATTTATCTGGGTCAGGTGTGTTTTGATCCGCAGTGCAAAGCACTGATGCTCTCCGTGACTCTGAGCTGCATCTATAGCAGCTGTTCTGGGTGCTTGATGAAGCTTTGCAGAGGTTTTTAAGCTTTAAGAGCACTCAGTGTCTGTGACAGAAGAGCACTCCTCTGTCAGTGTTGCTATACTTTTTGTGGTCTTTCCACGGTGCAGCATGACAGCTGCAACCTCGATGCAGATCGGCACTAATGGTGAGGTTAATGTGAGTCCTGAGGTGCAGCGTAACATCCCACAGCGCTGCAGTGGGTCCTCCCACAAACCACAGACAGTCTGGTAGAAATGTACGCTGTCTCCAGCCCCGCTGGTCCTGATGGAGCCTGTATGAGGACTCTGGGGGGAGAAGAGTAGGGTTGATTCATATGGCAATGTTAATGTGTTTTGCTGAGGGACAAGAGGAACGTAAAGGGGCACGCAGTTGCAAAAGCGATGAAAATGTCGTCCCGGCAAAAACATGAATGAATTCACGAACCATAAAGTTTCACTGCTCTTTTCTTTTCCTGACACGTCTTAATGGACTGAAAACATTTCAGTTCTGTAGATCCTAAAATTTCAGATGTTTAGTTTTCTAGTAAATTCTGTGTTAATCATAGATTATATGTAATCTAAAATCTTTCTCACCTCGAGTGAGTTTTTAATAAAGACACAGCTCCTTGTTGTGTTTCCCAGTCATCTTATTTATTGCATCGCTGCCAGCAATTAGACATGATTCTCACCAAAAAGTGCTGCCTCATCAAAAAATCAGAAAACAAAAGTCAGATTGATGCAGCCGGTTCCAGGTCGTTGCTGATTTATTTCCTCTCCCTCCCTATAGCCAGGAGCTCTGTCAAGCTGGCGTCAGATGGGTTATGAATCACAGCTTAGTTTGCCAAAAGTTCCTTTTTGCTGCAATCAGCAGTCGTTACCTGTCAGTTCACACCTTGGTTTTATCAGAAGGTTTTTTTTTTTCAAATAATGGTATCTTGTTTGTGTCTTTTTAATGTTATAGATCTGATTGTACCTGAGCCATGTGTGAGGTTTATGTAATCAGTGCCCTCTCACAGAGATCGAGGTCATTTCAGAGTAGTTTTATGGATGATCCTGGAAAAGATCTCTGATTATAAAAGGTAGAATCGAGTTTTGTTTGCATTTGATGAAAGATAATTATTGTCCAATTTTTAGGAAACCTTTTCAAACGAGCGATCTGTTTTTCCAAGTTTGTCACTGAAGCGAAGCCCTATGTGAACATATGCAGAATCAGGCTGTCCACTTTAAATTTATTTCGGTTTTCCTCTGTTTTGTTTTTCGTGAACTTCTGTCTCATGAAAACATTAGAGGATAGTCGGGGTGTAGCGTTGCCTCAGTCCCACAGTCACTGGATGCATATGGCTCCTATTAAAACCGTGTTTCAGCAGACATCTCCGTTTCACTCCTATTCCCTGCTGAGACTCAGACGCTGTAGTCTCAGGTTTGGAAGAGTTCACATTCAGGATCTTACTGAAGGCTCCACTAACCACAAGTCATGGGAAGCTCGTTTCTTAACTCTACCCCCCACCCCCACACAAAGGAAGCAAAACCTCCCCACGTCAGAATAAGGATTACATGGGTTTCAACTATCATAAAGTCTTGGGATCGTTTCATATGAGACACTAATATTTTCTTTTCAAGTAGAAAGTTTTTTCTCTCCAAACATCTTGGTTGGTTTAAATTCACTAAGTGTTCCTCATCAAAATGATTCTATAAACACGATGTCGAAATTGATGTTTTTCTCTACATAACGTCTCAGAATGGCAACTAATTACAATTTATTATGTCATTATCTACAGGAGATGTGTACATCCAGCCAACTCAAGACACCAAGAACCCAGTCATCTATGGAGTCTTCTCAGTTTCAGGGTGAGTGATGGCTTTCTTTTCTCCGTTTTCTACCAGATGGGTCACTATGGTAACGTATCGTCATTTCAGGGCTGAAACCTTGTGCCTCCATTTTCAGGTATTTACATTAAAACTCATCTTTTGCATCATTTTATGCTACCATGTAGGTCTCTACTGCCTCTCCAAACGCAGAAAAAAACTTCCATCCATTTTCCGTCAATATTAGGTTTTAGGGATTATGTGCAAAGCAATTTAAAAAGTCCCCGTTTGTGACATCACAAGTGGGGTAAGTAAAATAGATGTGCAGGAGGAGTAGCAGCTCTACTCCAAACCTCCCCCGATTATCGGAGCTTCTCAGCTTATAGCAGCCTACGCAGGGGGTGGGTGGGCGTGTTTGATAACACAACACAAAGGTAGGAGTGGAGAAACTATGGATTTATTGTAAAGAATATCTGAATCACTCAGGAATACTATCTCAATTGTTCTACTCTCCTAACTCCTTCTGGGGGATACTAAAGCATTCCCAAGTCGGAGAAAATAATTATTCCCTCTAACATTTCTGGGGTCTGCTCCAAAACAAAACCCTCCAGAGGAGGCAACCAGGTGGATGACTGAACCAACTCAGAAGACTCTTTTTGATGAGGAGGAGCTGCAACTGTACCCAATCACCTTACAGAGGAAGCTCCTTTTATCCAGTCATGATATACATTTCATGACCATGACTCGGCTCGCCACAACAGGCCAAAGCAAAGTCCTTCCTCTTTGAGGTGAGGCATAAACTGACTTCCAGCCAGGAGAGAACATTCCACAGTTTTGGAGGAAAAAGTTTTTTTCTTCTTCTGTATGAACATGAAGTGACGTTGTCTGCTTGCACTTCTTCCAACCATCTGACTACAAAGACAAGACAGGAAGTGGATGTGCTTTCTTCTGAGAGTCTGACAGAAACTGCAGTTCTGCACAAGCCGATAGCAGGGTGTCGCACGCCACGCAGCATTCAGCATGCATGCTGAGGTTCCGTCAGTAGAGACATAATAAACTTGTCTTGATTAATGTATTTGGAAAAGAAACCTTGTTATTGTTCCTGTTCTCGTCAGAGGCATCAAGCACATTCAGGCCCAGCTGATAGAAACACATGTGGTGCTAATGATGGGGGTCCATGACAGGAGTTACAAACATACTACACCCACCACCCAGCAACAAGAGCCTGAACCGCGGCCATTCTCTGCTCTGCGTGGGTGTTTGTATGTCAGACAGCTTGACTCGGCTCGAGTCAGCCGGTGTTTGTGTGTGCGTCGTCGTGTTTTAGTTTGTTCCTGGCTGACGATGTGGAAAGGAAGTCTGAGGAGTCACAAGCCGCAGAGAGTAATTATCTCAAGGATGGAGGTTGACGTGTTCACCTGTTTTCACTTGTTTTCCTTCAGATCTGTGTTTAAAGGCTCGGCGGTGTGCGTGTACTCCATGGCTGACATCCGCATGGTGTTCAACGGGCCGTTCGCCCACAAAGAAGGGCCCAACTATCAGTGGGTGGCGTACCAGGGGAAAATTCCTTACCCTCGACCTGGCACTGTGAGTTCAAAATGAAGAAAATCAATGTTACTGCCATCAGATCGAAATAATAAATGGTAGCGGAGCAGATCTGACCTTCAAATTATCAATCTGTCAACAGTGTCCCGGAGGCACTTTTACTCCCAACATGAAATCCACCAAGGATTACCCTGATGAGGTTATCAACTTCATGAGAAATCACCCCACTATGTTCAATGCTGTATACCCGGTGCACAAGCGCCCCCTAGTGGTCAGAACAAACGTGGATTATGAGTTCACCACTATTGCTGTGGACCAAGTGAGAGCTGCTGACGGGAGCTATGAGGTGCTCTTCCTGGGCACAGGTCGGTAGTTTGGAGGATTGTAGAAAAGATAAAGCGTTGAAATGAATGAAGATTAAGAAAGAATTTGCTTTTTCAGATCGTGGGACGGTCCAGAAAGTGATTGTCCTGCCAAGAGATGACCTGCAAACAGAGGAGCTGGTTCTAGAAGAAGTGGAAGTGTTCAAGGTGGGTTTTTCCGGTCTCTGATTAGTCCGTTTTCCTCTTTTTCCTTCACTGGTTTTGGCTAATCTGTCAGAAAATAACGATCTGTTCATCTGGTTGTGTGCCTGTAGGTTCCCACCTCAATTACCACCATGAAGATCTCATCAAAACGGGTTAGTAAACTTTATTAAAACAAAACATTTCCACAGGGAATTTAATCAAAAATAGATAGTTTTTAATTAATAAGCAAGATATTGAAGCAGAAGTCCTCTAGGGACGAATTGCAGAATGCAGAAAAAAATAAAGCTTTACTGAAAAAGTCAGATTGATTATGCATTAAGTTCAGTTCATTATGCCAATTGGTTAAAAGTTTCTATGTAAGAAAACCCAGCAGATTGGATCGAGTCACTGACACAAGTCCTAGACTTTACAGCAATTTCCATATTAAGCAAGCATGTAGCGACAGTGGAGTGGAAAACTTCCCTTTAACAGGAAGAAACCTCCAACAGAACCTGGCTCAGCCTTCACACACACACACACACACACACACTCACACACACACACACACACACACACACACACACACACACACACACACACACACACACACACACACACACACACACACACACACACACACTCACACACACACACACACAATGGGTAAACTAGCAGCAGTACAGTCTTTGTTTAAGAAAGTATAAAGTTAATACCATTATTAATGATCAATGTCATTTAACTTGTCTTTTTATGAATCATCCACATTCATCAGATGTCTTTATTGGGGATTGTTCTTTTCTGTTTCTTTTAAAAGCAACAACTGTATGTGGGATCTGTCCTGGGCGTGACCCATCTAGCACTCCACCGCTGTGATGTGTACGGGGAGGTCTGCGCTGACTGTTGTCTGGCCCGAGACCCGTATTGCGCCTGGGATGGAAAATCCTGCTCCAGATACTCTGCTTCACAGAAGAGGTGAAGATCGAAGCAGCACAGATGGCTGCACTTTATTACAATCTGATCATCAACGTAGATTGATGTTGATGGGTTGATGATTCTTAATTTTTTTATTATTTCTGGCTCATTATTTGACTCTTTTAGACGAAGCCGCCGACAGGATGTCAAGTACGGAAACCCGATCCGCCAGTGCAGAGGGTATAACTCTAACAGTGAGTATTTTTGTTCTTTAAGACTTTAGACTTCAATTATAGGTTTTAATGGAGAATTAAAGCTTTAATGATCACGTGTCCACCTAATGCTTTGTAGACAATAAGAACACTCTGGAGACGGTTCAGTACGGGGTGGAGGGAAGCACTACTTTTTTGGAGTGCCAGGCCCGCTCTCCGCACGTCTCTCTCAAGTGGCACCTGATGAAGGAAAACAGTGATAGAAGGAAAGAGGTGAGTGGCAATTTTATTTTGAAGCAAAGTTTTGACCTTGATATGCTCTCTTTTTTTCACAAGAGAATTTTAAAACAGTACACAAAGGAGGTTGGAGGTTTGAACTTTCAAAAACTCACAATGTATTTCTGAACCTGACTCCCAGAAAGATTGACAGTAATGAACATCTTCAGGAATATGATCAGAGCATCAAAACCCTCAACAACCTTCAGGAAAGAAGGGTTGATTTGAAAATCAACACACAATAATGGAAATGTTAAGAGTTTGTTAATCCACACATTTGGGTTGAGATGTAAATAATCTTCAGGAAAGTCAAAATTTCAAAAAGCAAAAAAGATCACCACGTCTTGGATGAGTGAGAACCTTCATTCTCATTTGGTGTCCGTTGTTTTTAGGTTGCCTTTTTTTAAGTTCACTCTTTCTGTTCACTTTAGATCCGCTCAGATGGTCGCATCCTAAAAACGGATCAGGGTCTCCTGATCCGCTCCGTGCAGTCCTCCGACAGCGGCATCTACCATTGCACGTCCACAGAGAAAAACTTCAAGCACACTCTGGTGAAGCTGCAGCTCGTGGTCCTCTCCAGTCGCACCGTCAACAATGTGCTAGTGGAGACGGGAAGTCCGGCCCTTCCTCCGCTCCAGTCCAGCGCCTGGACTCCGAGTGCAGGTCAGTACAAAGATCTGCTGACCATCTTGAGCCAGCCAGAGATGGGCCTGATCAACCAGTACTGCAAGGATTACTGGCAGCATGGAGACGGGAACCTTGGGGAAAGCAAAGCCAAGAGTATGAAGGAGCTGAAAGAAGAGAAGAAGCCTCGCAACCGCCGGCATCACGACGATCAGACGAATCCAGCCGAGACATGAAGAGCTGAATTACGTCCTGTCGCATACCCAAATGCCGCCCTTGTCCACCTTTAACTTCACAACCTCCCAGACACCACAACCCTCCATTAAGAGCAATGACTCTGGTTAGCTGACAACGCAACAGAAAGCATCAAACTGTTTCCATGTAACTGTTGGGGAAAAATATTTATTGTAGGTTGTAAAAAAATAATTCTTTGTACCTATATAGACATGTTTTTTGTGAATAGAGAAAATCTGTGCAAATATTGTTATATTATTATTATCATTATTATTAGTGTCATCACATTGTGTTATCATGATGAGAATATCTTTCGTTTTGGAGCAACAATTACCCAGAACTTTGCAGGGTGTGGACACAGACTCGTGAACTTAACTGCTGGATCAACTGACTGCTGGCAGAATTTAAGGTCAAAATCGAGTCTCTCAGACCGCCTTTAGCGTCTTCAGCCTACTGTAAACCAGATGCATTTTTTTACAACAAAAATGGCAACATCCGGCATCTCACAGGACATATGAAGATGGTTAGTAATGCCCACAGACTGCAGCTGCAACAAGTCACACACACACACACACACACACACACACACACACACACACACACACACACACACACACACACACACACACACACACACACACACACACACACACACACACACACACACCACACACACACCACACACACACACACACCACACACACACACACACACAAAACCTGTCCTGTGAATTTAAAGTCGTTCGTTCTTCCATCCAAACTCTCCAGACTGGCCTCAAGTAGAGATCTTGAACCACTCATTCATATTCTTCCACAATAAGTTGCTGCCAAGTGTTTTTTTTTTTAATGTTTTTATGTGAATAACACACCTCTTTGTTGTGTTCCAAACGTGATCTCTGTAAGCTGTTTTACTGGAGCGGGGGAAGATTTTCTAAAGGCACAAAAGCTAAAATCATAACATTGCCTTCTCTTTTCTTTATGGACATTTTATATTCCGGCAGGCAGCTAAATGTGAGTTTGTAACTGTTTGTGATTGCCGACAATATTAGACAAAGCACCTTCTGTTGCCAAATTGGTACATTTTAAAATAAAACTTGTAGTAAATCTGATTTTTAGGCATAATGGACATTATGTCCATATTAGAGGGGATATTTTTTTGCATTCCTACCATGTTATTGTAAATACTCGTAAAACTCTAAAACAAATGTGCAGATTCATTATACGACTATTACGATTGGTGCTGTATCATCTGGTAACAACAGAGACTTTTGTGCTGGTTCAGAGCCATCTTCATGCTTTTATTATTGGTGCCACGAACTGGAGAACCGATCAACTTCAACACAATAATCAGCATCACAGGTTCAACCACTAAAAAGATGACCTGGAGAGAAAACCACGGTCTTCGGAAGTGGATTTTCTTCGTGCATGGCATGTACAGCGTATGTATGTTTGTTGTAATCGTCTAAAATGTTGCTGTGGATGTCAGTGAATGTGTGTCATGTTGTGGGAATACGGATCCCTTTTTTACCATTGGAAATGCTGAAAGTTTAGAAAGATTGATTTTATTTTTGAAAAGAAAACAAGTTTGCATAAATTTCAAACATGTTTTCTGTGTTTGACAGCTCTTTGAGGTAACGTACGAAATGCACAGTCGGTGTTAATGTGTAACGACTCTTTTCTTCCTTGTCATTGTTGCAAACTAATAAATTAAAGCTCTATATTTTATAATAAAACATCTTCTCTTTTGTTTGACACTGCCAAACATGTTTTACTGTAATAAGTACAGAAGACCGTTCCTCTTCGTATAGCTGTGAGCAAACATGTTAAAGTGGTAAGGTGTGGTTTACTTCTTTATTCAATACATTTGCATTGTTATCTAGTGAAAAGCATTGCCTTATGAGTCATCTAACAAAAAAAAACTATGATGCTCCTGTTCTGAGACGCAGAAGTTTGCTGGTACAGAGGTGGCCTGAAAACAGCAGGATTACTCATTTATTATTGATATGCACACACCTCGCTTCTGATTGGCTAACAGAATGTGTTCAGCCATGTTGCTTAGTCACTATCACCAAGAGGCCCAATCCTAACACTCGCACTTCCACCCTTGCACCTCTTCAATTGTGTGTTCCCATCCGGGGGTGCGAGAGCTCAGGGTGTCCCCATTCTCAAGTTCGGAAGTTGACCGTCCCTTTTGCACCCTTGATCTGCACTTCGTCCAAGTTCACATTGATGCAGACTTTGACAAAGGGTATTATCCACAATTCATTGCTAAGGGAGCAAGGCTCACGTCTTTTCTGAAAATACATATTTTCTAATGAAAGTATTTCTTTTTAGGACAATTGATTGATGTTCTGTATGTTTTTACACAAATATTTAATTGTTTGGGATGAGAATCAGCACCTCTAAATCTGAGACCATGGCCTTGATTCGGAAAAGGGTAGAATGCCTTCTCCGGGTCAGGGATGAGGTCCTGCCCCAAGTGGAGGAGTTTAAGTAACTCGGGGTCTTGTTCACGAGTGTGGGAAAACTGGAGCGTGAGATCGATAGGTGGATTGGTGCTGCATCTGCAGTCATGCAGGCGTTTTACCGGTCTGTCGTGGTGAAGAGAGAGCTGAGTCAGAAGGCGAAGCTCTCGATTTACCAGTCGATCTACGCTCCTACCCTCACCTATGGTCATGAACTTTGGGTAGTGACTGAAAGAACGAGATCGCGGGTACTAGCAGCCGAAATGAGTTTTCTCCGAAGAGTGGCTGGGCTCTCACTTAGAGATAGGGGGAGAAGCTCGGTCACTCGGGAGGTGCTCGGAGTAGACCCGCTGCTCCTCCACAACGAGAGGAGCCAGTTGAGGTGGCTCGTGCATCTGGTCAGGGTGCCTCCTGGACGCCTCCCTGGTGAGGTTTTCCGGGCATGTCCAACCGAGAGGAGACCTAAAGGTAGACCCAGGACACGGTGGAGGGACTATGTCTCTCACCTGGCCAGGGAACGCCTTGGGATTCCCATGGAGGAGCTGGCCCAAGTGGCTGGGGAGAGGGAAGTCTGGCCATCTCGCCTTAAGCTTGGTTTATGCTTGACGCATTCACTTTCCGCTTGGTGATGCAGCTTGCGGATGGAACGCGCTTCACAACTCGCAGTGTTTATGGTTCATGCGGCTCGTCTCTGCGGTGAGCCAATATTCTCCCAAACTGAACGGGACAGCATGGAGCTCTACGGCATGCATCCAACACTACACCATAGTAGAAGTAGAAATTACTGTTTACAACATGGCATTTTAGCATTTTTAACAGCGTCCTCGTCTTTTCTGACAGTGCGAGCTATTTTTCTCCAAGAATTATTAACAACATGTTGATCACGGTGATCTCTGAGAGCTGAATCATACAAATGTCTGTATTTACGAACCTCTGCCATACTAGTTCTTGCCGGTCCGCCATGTTTTTCCACGTCCGACCGTCCTCGTGGTTAGAAAATTTCCTAGGTGCGCGTTGCGGAAATCTTGGGTCATGCGGAGGCGCGGTGGAGGGGCGTGGTTGTTAAAATGACGCAATTTTGCCGCGCAGAGCCGTGCGGAACTCGCGGACGCGTCAAGCATAAACCAACCTTTAGGCCACTGCCCCCGCGACCCGACTCCAGATAAGCGGATGAAAATGGATGGATGGATTTAATTGTTTGTTTGAAAGTTTGTTTCTTTAGAAGCAGCACAGCGACCAACATCCCGGCATTTGTTGCGGTCAATCACGCAATGCTTTCTGTCCCATTTCAGTAATTATTTGCTCACATGTGCAGTACGAGCTCGAAGCCTTACTGCATACTCCCTCCAAGTGCACTTCACAGAAGACCGTAGAGCATGGTGCAAGTATTGTGATTGAGCCACACACTCCACTCTCTCTCCTCGCTGCAAAAAAATGTTTTAAAGCCTTCTTGTGGGCGGGCGTGAGCCAAGATGGGCGAAGCAATGAATGCAAATTCACAGTATGAAATAGATAAGTGAGGATAAAATCTTAGCCTTTCACCATCTATTTTCTATCAGAAGCTATCACAGGAGATAGGTGTAGGAGACTGTTTTCACATTCAGCCTGCATAAAAAGCTCAGAGTGACCAATTATACTCAGGAATAATTGGTGTGTGTGTGTGTGTGGGGGGGGGGGGGGGGGGTGGACCACACATTTAAGCATTGCTGCTTTCATTGTGTCAAACATTGCAAGACACACACACACACACACACACACACACACACAGTTATTACATCCATGCATCACTGAAGAGAGTAGATTAGGATTCTTTCCCTCCTTCAGATTTAGGTCAATGAGATCTGTTTAGTGAAACCACTAAGCCCTTTAAGTACCTCAGAACTCACCATTTAATCTGAAGTATCCAATAAGAAATGTCTTATTTTGTGTTTGCATGTATACTTTTCTATGTGTGGCATTTTTGTTGCAAGTTTTATTGTGTATTTTGCTGTAGTACGAGGCTGTTTTTGTGTTAAATGTGTTGGTTCTTCACCATATTGCACAAATAATCATTGTCATATTGATTTTCACTTTCAGCTGAGTCCTAACATGGAATTAATTAGTTTTGGTCAACTATTTAGCTTCTTCTCTTTTCAAGACATCTAAGAAGAGCATGAGATAAGCACTTGAGCCGATGCTCATCTTCCGCTGAGCACAGCAAAGTACCCTAAAGGCTAGAGCACAACTATGGTCCTCCGCTCCTCATCACACCTCTGCCCTATAACGTCCCTGTCCTTGTGCTCCATTGGCTACCACCGGTCAGGTGGGTCGAAGGTTCCCAAAATCCGCTCCTAAGTCGGAAAAATACTCAAACCTCAGGCAGCTGTAGGCAGTTCAGGCATCAGCTGTGCGGTTGAAGGCACCAGCCGGGACCTTCTTCCATTTTTCCTTGACACTTGGCTTTTAAACAGAAGGGACCTAAGCCGGGAAAGGTAGGATGGGGGCCGGAGCTAGCGCTGAGGAGAAACGCTCCAGGGAGCTGGAGAAGAAGCTGAAGGAAGATGCTGACAAGGATGCAAGAACTGTCAAGCTGCTGCTGCTAGGTAAAGACACCCAGCTTCAGATGCTTCAGCAGGTCCTGGTTCATTTATATGGAATCATGATGCTTGCATTTCAAATATTCTGCTGTTAGGCGTTAGAAGGTTTGCAAGAAAATTACAAACATTTAAATAAACATTTGTAACAAGAATAAATACTGTTGGCTTATGTTTAATTGTTGCAATGGATACGTCTCATTATTTTTACACAACTTGTTTGAGTCAAGCGAAAGCTTAATAACCTGTCACTGAACTGCTGAGACACTTGGATTATCACTCAAGCCAATCCTCTATTAATCCTGACACAACAGGTCCAACAGCACAAAGGGCTTAGCAGAGAAGGACACAGATATCAAGAAAATCCAAACAGAACCAACATAATTAAAAAGAGAAAGTACTCGCGTGATTCAAAACTTGATATACAATTGAGCCTAGGTTAGTTTTTAATTATATTTTACAAGTTATACAGACAAACATGGGTTTGTACCTGAAATAGTATCTCAGAATTTATAACTCTTGCCGAATGCACAATTGTTGACCTGGTTATAAACAGACATGCCAGGTTATTCCATATATTGTTTGTGCACAGATCCACCATCATCTAATAATGTAGGTCAAGAAAAAGATTAGACATGAAATAAGAAGTATTATGACTTGTTAGGATCATCTGTCTGATGAAATATGTCATCTAAGATAAACCCAGGTCCTCTTCTGGAAACAATGTAACCAATAAAATTACTAAACAGATGTAAGGGTTCTGGAAAATTATGGAAAATCTCAATAAAACTGGCTTTAACAAACATCTACTGATGTTGGTGTTCTCTCGTGTAGGTGCTGGAGAATCAGGCAAAAGCACAATCGTCAAACAGATGAAGTAAGTTGGACTTTAGGCCCTGGTAGCTTTTATTTCTAAATGTAATCTGTGCCGTAACGCCGCATTTTCTCTGCAGAATTATTCACAAAGATGGTTACTCGCTTGAAGAGTGCTTGGAGTTTATTACCATCATTTACAGCAACACCCTGCAGTCCATCATGGCTATTGTAAAGGCCATGACCACACTCAACATTAACTACGGCCACCCCGATCAGCAGGTTGCCACAAACGTCCATATAAATGTTCCCAGTTTGTTGGCAAACAAACAGAACTATGGGTTAAATGTATTTTCTTTGACTCTGTCATGCAGGATGATGCCAGGAAACTCATGCATCTTGCAGACACGATCGAGGAAGGAACCATGCCCAAAGAGCTGTCGGACATTATCCTGCGTTTGTGGAAGGATTCTGGTATCCAGGCATGCTTTGACAGGGCTTCAGAGTACCAGCTCAACGACTCAGCTGGATAGTAAGAACTCTGAATTGTGGAGGTTTCAAGTTTTGTTTTTGCATTACTCAACTGAAACTCTTTTCCTCACAGCTACCTAAACGATTTGGAGCGACTGATCCAGCCAGGCTACGTGCCCACTGAGCAGGATGTGTTGCGATCAAGAGTCAAGACCACCGGTATCATCGAGACCCAGTTCTCCTTTAAAGATCTCAACTTCAGGTGTGTTTCTGCATCACTTAGGATTAGCTGAGCTACAGAGTGAAGACTTCAGATCAAATGTCTTGGTTTTTCTCATGCAGAATGTTTGATGTGGGTGGCCAGAGGTCAGAGAGGAAGAAGTGGATCCATTGTTTTGAAGGTGTCACTTGTATCATTTTCATTGCTGCTTTGAGCGCTTACGACATGGTGCTGGTGGAGGACGATGAAGTGGTATGGACAGTTACCTATTTTTAACTATTTCATGCCAAGTATCAGATGGTTATAAAGATCTTCGTCGAACTTTACTTCCAGAATCGAATGCACGAGAGTCTCCACTTGTTCAACAGTATTTGCAACCACCGCTACTTTGCCACCACCTCCATTGTACTCTTCCTCAACAAGAAAGACGTGTTTGTGGAGAAAATCAAGAAAGCTCATCTCAGCATGTGCTTCCCTGAGTATGATGGTGAGATCTTATTTTTTTAATTATGGCATTTTTTAAACAAAAATTGCAAATTACTTCATTTGACATGGTCTCACATAGGACCCAACACCTATGAGGACGCCGGTAACTACATCAAAATACAATTCCTGGACCTAAACCTGCGTCGAGATGTCAAAGAAATCTACTCCCACATGACCTGTGCCACGGACACGGAAAACGTCAAGTTTGTGTTTGATGCCGTAACCGACATCATCATCAAAGAAAACCTGAAGGACTGCGGTCTCTTCTAAAAGTTGGGCAGAGGAACTAAACAAGGGTGAGCAAAGAGAAAGTGAGCAAAGATACAGAAAAAAATAAAGCCGCTTAAAGCTGTGGTCCGTAGCGTGATGTCATCAAGGAAAGAAGCAGATTTTGAGGTTTGATTGGCTATAGCTCCCACCCCTGCCCCCCTTAACATTCTGGAAGGTAACGCTGTACTAGCCAACAGTAAAGGCAGCACAATTATCTCCATTTTTATTTATTACAGTTATCTAAAGATAAATGAACAGCTTAGTATTTACCAGTCCATTAGAAACTCGACCAACTCCATCAGTTTTGAGCTCTTGTTGACCTCAAATTTTAGTCCATCTATTAAAAGCATCTTCAATGTAAATTATGCTCAACTGTTGTAAACGTCTCACGGAGTTTCCTCCGAAGAGCTCATAAATGTTAAAATTTTCTTTGAGCAGTAGAAGGCTGTCGAGGAATCGGTAACTTTGAGAATTGTTTTGGTGACTCTGTTGCAAAATCTGGCTACTTCTTCTTCTTTGTTGTTGTGCTAAACTGACTAGGGTGCTTTCTCGTTGACTGACTGCTGCCCCTTGTGGATACGAATATATGTTGGTCAACGCTCTAGGATAGTGTGAAGGATTCCTTTTGATGTAGAGGCCAGGGTAGGGACTTAGGAGAAATATAAATTTTGAAAGATGACCTGCATTATATATAACAGAGTCAGTTTCGAATTCAAGCATTTTTTCAAGTTACTTTAAAATGTTGAAACTACATACCCTAGCTTTAACCATCTAACCATTGGGATTCTCTTTTTGTTGTCGTAGGGTTCTAACATAGAAAGTTCCTCAAATCCCTCCAGTAATTAAACTGAGGACTGAAGATGGAAATTGTCCCCTTGAAAAGTCATCTTGAAACAGCAAATGCAAAAACATTTATTTCAATTTGTGTCACAAAATAACTTGCAGCTTTGACCAATAACTTCTTTTCATCTGAAACCGACATCTAAAGACAGAACATCCGTTTCTAATTTTAGGACAAATGTTATGTCAAACTTTTCTCCGATGTCTTTGGAGGGCCGTGCAGTTTGTCGTTCCGGTTAATCCAGGTAAACTAAGTTATTTAGAATGTTTTAATAGACAGATGTGAATAAATGTCCAGTCTTCAAGCTCCAGTTTTGTTAGTATCCACCAAAAGAAGACCACAGTCAACTCACCACCTGCAAATGCACTTCAGTCTAGTTTAGGCATTTTAATAAACTTCCACTAGAAATGGCTTTTATATAAAAACACACAACCGTAAACTTTGCAGCACAATTAAAGAACGTTTTTGAGTGAAGCACTAGGGGATGTTTTTCCAGTAGTTGAAAAGGGCCGTTGTATATAATTATTCAGATTTCTAATGAAGTATCAAGTTGTAGAAAACTCCATTTAAAATTCTTTGTTTGAAAGACTTTGAAGTATTTAACTTGTACAAAGACACAAATGGTACAAATTGTTTTAACTTATTAAAGCTCCTGTAGAAAACTCAAGTGTTGTCATTTTTCACAAGTTAAATATCCATCCATCCATCCATTTTCACCTGCTTATCCGGAGTCGGGTCGCGGGGGCAGTAGCCTAAGTCGAGAGGCCCAGACTTCCCTCTCCCCAGCCACTTGGGCCAGCTCCTCTGGGGAAATCCCAAGGCATTCCCTGGCCAGGTGAGAGACATAGTCCCTCCAACGTGTCCTGGGTCTACCTTTAGGCCTCCTCCCGGTTGGACGTGCTCGGAAAACTTCACCAAGGAGGCGTCCAAGAGGCATCCTGACAAAATGCCCAAGCCACCTTAACTGGCTCCTCTCGATATGGAGGAGCAGCAAATCTACTCCGAGCCCCTCCCGGATGACAGAGCTTCTCACCCTATCTCTAAGGGAGAGCCCAGCCACTCTGCAAAGAAAATTCATTTTGGCCGCTTGTATCCGCGATCTCGTTGTTTCTGTCAGAACCCAAAGCTCATGACCATAGGTGAGGGTAGGAACGTAGATTGGCTGGTAAATCGAGAGCTTCGCCTTCTGACTCAGCTCTCTCTTCACCACGACAGACCGGTTAAACGCCCGCATCACTGCAGATGCAGCACCAATCCACCTATCGATCTCACGCTCCAGTTTTCCCTCACTCATGAACGACACCCCGAGTTACTTAAACTCCGCCACTTGGGGCAGGACCTCATCCCTGACCCAGAGAAGTCGTTCTAACCTTTTCCAAATCAAGACCATGGTCTCAGATTTAGAGGAGCTGATTCTCATCCCAGCTGCTTCACACTCGGCTGCGAACCGCTCCAGCGAAAGCTGAAGATCACGATCTGATGAAGCCGACAGGACCACATCATCTGCAAAAAGCAGAGACCTGATCCTCAGGCCACCAAAAAGCATGCCCTCAACACCTTGGCTGCACCTAGAAATCCTGTCCATAAAGGTTATTAACAGAATCGGTGACAAAGGGCAGCCTTGGCGGAGTCCAACTCTCACTGGGAACGAGCCCAACTTACTGCCGGCAATGCGGACCAAGCTCTGACACCGGTCATACAGGGACCTAACAGCCCGTATCAGAGGGCCTGGTACCCCATACTTCCGGAGTACCCCCCACAGGGCCCCCCGAGGGATGCGGTCAAACGCCTTGTCCAAATCCACAAAACACATGTAGACTGGTTGGGCAAATTCCCACTCACCCTCCAGGATCCCCCTAAGGGTATAGAGCTGGTCCAGTGTTCCACGACCAGGACGAAAACCACATTGCTCCTCCTGAATCTGAGGTTCAACAATCCGACAGACCCTCCTGTCCAGAATTAAACAAATTAAATAGAACACATTAAAGTCTTGTTCGGGATCTGTCATATAAAGCTGCAAAAGCAACGAAAATGGTGACAGAACGCGCCCCCCTCAGTTATCATTCCTCAGCCACGTCTGCCGAATACCAGACCCCACATTGCTAGAGTAAACAAGAGAGCGTTAAACACCAGTCGCCGTTTTTTACGTTCAAACATCTTTTGTTGTCCGTTACTTCAAATGGTGTTTCTTTTTGGGAGTCTGCTAGTTTATCCAAAGTGGAAATGCTAACAGCCGGCTGTTTCTCCCTCTGATAATATTGAGCCACGAACCTCTCACACCAGTGGTGTTCTGTTGCAAAATGTGCAAGTGCGTAATGAGTGAAGGACCCAGGGAAGCATGGAAGTGCTGCGGTTCAGTGCGACTGACAACCGAATAGTCCAATATTTGTTTTTTGAGCCGTTTTATTGGTGGAGGTTTTTAGACAAATGTGAGAGAACCACTTCATTAATATTTATCTTTTTTTTTTACCTCCCTAGTTAATTTATAGCTATACTGTTGTGTTCTGACACTAGATGGCAGTACAGTGCAATGTAGATATATAGAGGTGCAGCATAGAGTTCTGGAGTAGTTCTGCTACAGCACATGTGTCAGACACAAGGCCCGCGGGCCAGATGCAGCCCGCGGAGCATTTTTATGTGGCCCGCGAGATAATTATCAAAAATATATTAAAACTGACCCACTGGCTGATTTTACCGCAAAGACTTCAACTCCCATGAAGCTTTGCGGCATTACCGCAGAGCCAACGCGCCCCCTCCTTTGTGTTTTTTCCAGCGCCTGCTGCCGGTGTCTGCAGCTCTGCTGTCTCGGACAAACTACACTCCTCTCACTCAGCGCCAAGTTCACTCAGCTATTTTCTGACGTTGAAGCCCAGAAACGGAGATTCTAGCCGCTCAGTAATGTGTTCACGACTGAAAGAGAAAGTTTTCCAACTAACGCCCAGACAGAGCTGATATAACTCCAGCGAACAGCGACACGCTCAAACCAGCATGACTCTGTGGCTGCTGTCGTTGTGTTTCCTCCCCGACACACAACGTGGTCAAGCTGCTCAGACATGTTCAGCAGCACAAACCTATGTGAGCACCTGTTGTCATCTAATGTTGTCATTATTATGATGAAGATGAACAAAACAACAGGAGTCTCCTCCTCAGCTCAGATCAACCCCATAATGCAGGTATCTGGCTGGAACAGGTGAGCATCATAGTAAACCAGTGGAGCAAACTGAGCTTTAAATATGTTGGTTTTATGCTCTCTTTCTGCTCTAAAACATGAAAGTTAACAGGTGAGATGTTGCATTTTCCTTTAAGATAAAATGGTAGTTTTATTTTGTTGTTGGCCCGTGAGAAAATATTTAACCTACAGTAAACAGGAAATGGAAAGGCTGCAGATAGATGAATAGAATAGAAAATCCCTTTATTGTTCCTCAGTGGGGAAAGCTAGATGTCACAGCAGCAATGACACTTATTACAGGAGAAAAAGAGGAGCATAAAAAATAAAAAAAATGAATAAACAAGAAAACATAAATCCTGAATAGATTTTAAAAATGCTGATTATACCACAAGTAATGAATACCACTGATGTCTTTTATTTAAAACTGACTTGCTTGTGTGTAATTTGGTTATTCCACATTCAGCGTTAATGCAGAAAAATGTTAGTTTCCAAATTTAAAGATTCAAAATTGCATATATGTTGATAAAGAAAACGTGCAAATTTGCCGTCACTTTTTCAAAGAATATTAAGTTTGGCCCCCGACTCCGTCCCAGAGTTTCATTTCGGCCCCGTGTGAGTTTGATACCCCTGTGCTAGAGTGCTGCTAAAATGGATGCCTGCATGTTCCTACCAACTACAAAACATGTTAGAATGTTAAAAGACATGAAAAAAAATGTTTAAGCTAGCTTGTTTAGCAGATTTAATGATTTCTACTTAGTTACTTAGCAGCACTGAAACCTGTTGAGTTCAGCACAAACAGATTGAAGTAGTTTTAAAACTGGTTAAAGAACTTGTTGTTGTTCCTTTATTTGTACTGAAACAGATCGAAATTACACATGCCTCAATAAAAATGTCATTGCATGATTAAAAGTCGCTTTTTAATTCAAATGTAAAGGTCTACGTTCAAACAAGCTGAACTGTTTGATGCAGGGACTTAAACGAGACAAGAACGTATCCACTTGCTATCCTGTTAGTAATCATTTATTTCATTAGTTCCTTTGTTACTTTGTAATTTGTTTAGAATAAAAAATCCTTGGAATTTAAACAAAAATTTAGTTTCACATAAATACTGTCAAGCAAAAAAAAAGTGGCTAAATTTCCAACTAAATTTTTTAAGAAAAAGTCTGTGTGAATACCGTGTGGCATAATTTCTATTTTCTAATGAGCCACTGTGACTTAGGCCCAATCCCAATTCTCTCACTTCCACCCTTGCGCCCTTCAATTGCGCGATCCTGACCAGGGGTGCGAGTGCGTAGGTTTCCCGATCTCAAGTGCTGAAGTTGATCATGCCCCTTTTGTGCCCTAATCCTAAAGCTCCTTGTCTCAATTGTGTACTACGCACTCGAAGCCTTACTGCACACTTCCTCCAAGTGCACTTAGCTGAAGACCACAGGGTGAGTGCGAGTATCGGGATTGGGCCTTAAGACACGACAAAACCCATTTGGCCTTAGCTTTGATGTGACTAGCTGTTAGCTCATCAATCAGGCCTTTTTCTCCAGTCTGTTTAAACAATTTAGGACATAAATTGCTCATTGCATTTACCCACTTTAATAGATTTGAATCATCACTTTAATTTCTATTTACAATGTTTACAAACTTCGTAAAACCATGTAAAATAATATTGGATGTTAACCATGCAGCTGTATGTCAGTGCTGTGACCCCTCTGGCAGCATAAATACTGACGGATATTCTAAAACATACAGACAACATTTCAAAAACATTTATTTCTTAAAGCATTCATTGACTTTTGTTTTTCTATTAAACCCTGAGTTCCTTCTCTGTGATAATAATTAGGTTTGATGTGCACTTAAAACAAACAGCAACAATGCAGAAAGAATACAACAGTTATTGTCTGTTATTAAGGATTTTAAAATATGGCTTAGTTTACATGTCTAAAAAACTTTTGTTACGTGATAGTAACGCAAAACTGAACAAAATATGGAATCAAATCATTTTGTAACACCAAACATGTTTGACAACGTTAACAGAAGGCACTTAAAGATTAAACCTGAACGTCACTCTCGTGAGGTCATGGCACATCTTTGTCCTCTTTGTAAGACATCGAGTTTTCAGAGGCTTGAGGAGTCAACACTTGGTTTTGTGAGCATGCAGGATGAAGTTCAACCTAATATTTTTTGTTATTACACGGAAGAAAGTAACTTTTTTTTATTTTAAATTAATTAATGCGAGAAAGCAAATTCTTGCAACATCCTCAAAGCTGTTTATGTGGGACAATGAGTAAAAAAATGCAGCAGCTGTTTCTATTAATGCAAACCATAGGATGTCTTCCACAGGCACCATAAAAAACAGAATTTTACTTTATATGTATAAATCTACTCTTGTTACTTGTGTGTTGTTTTTTTTTTGCAGCCCTTGATAAGAAGCACTGATCAAGTCGCGTGAATCGACTGCAAAAAGGCACTGATCATCGTATTTAGGGATTGTTTTCCTTTAGAGCGAGTGTTCCCATAGGCTATAAGAAGACAGATGACACCTTAAACCGAGAATAACTGTCAGAATTTACAGCTCAGCTGTAACTTCCAACTCACACACACATTCAACCATTCATGCATCACCACACATATTAGTGAGTCAGTCTAAAACCACTTAACTTCAACTCGTCACCAAACTAAAGGTAAATGAAAGGCGCCTCATCAATTTCCAACAGAAGAGTCGTCCTTTTTGTTGAATTTAGGCTCAAGTGTTTATCTTAATACAGTAAGTATTAAAACTGTTTTCTCAGGATTGTGTTGCGGTCCGCTTCCAGTCTGGATCCAAAGCCGACGAGACAATGACCTCTAAGATCACTGCGCTGAATGTCTTTTCGAACCAAACGTCACTACATCCGTCCACGTTTTCAAAAAAGTCCGACCATGTGATCGATCTGTCTCATGTAGACGCTCTTTAATGGCAGGGCATACCTGCGCTCCTGTGGGAAACGGTTACACTGCAGGGACAAAGAGGAAAGCGTGAGTAAGACCAAAGACTTTGCATCCTGTTATCATTTTAGGTTGCAGACGGTAAAAAAGGTCATAGTTGAGCCTTACGTGACTGATGTTGCCTGGAGGTTGCTGGTTGCTCACATCAGTTTCTGCCAACACTACATCATCACAAGGAAACAAGTCGTCCCACTGTTTCTCCCTGAAGCGCTTGTCTATAGGCACAACATGGCCCTCGGTGGTGAAGATGTACTTGTGATCAGACTTGTGAAGTGGGTTGTCCTCGTCGAACAGCTACATAAAAGACAAAATAACTATATATGGATTAAAAGTGCACAATGTTTGATATTACCTTTGTTTAAAACACTGACATGAGAGCTGGTGGCCGATATGCTTTCCCTCATTAGCCTTTAATAACAAATGTTCCTGGAAATCTAATAAGAATTTTATTAGCGCACAAACAGACGTTATAGTTTACACTTTGAGTCTTTTCACTAGGTGTTTAACAGAAGCTCGCACTTTATCATGCAATTAAACTGGGGTTCCAGAATGAAAATGTTTCAGTCCTCGTTCACTGAGAAAACGTGTAATACTGGTAATACTAATACTAATAATAGACGAGAAACCGATCAGGTCACAAAAAGTCAGTCTCTTCTATTTCACAGGGTATATAAGATTTGATGGCCTCGTCCACCTCGACTAGTGACAGCAGAAGGCTGTTTTTGATTTAGCATCCAGGAGAGAGCAGAGCGCATCTTGCCTCGTAGAAGCTAACTGTTAGCATTAGCATCCCCACAACATGACTGAATACAATCAAGCTTGTGTTATTTGTAGAGAAAACATTAACTCTGGATTTCTACCCAACAAACAAACATGAACGTAGGCAGAGCAAGAGTAGTGCTGATGTTTGCATTTTGAATTTTTAATGAGTAAGATTTCAAATCCTGCTGTTTCCCAATCCCATCCTCCCACCAACTTTTACCTCCAAAACAGGAGCAGCAGAGCTTTTTTCCCCAAAGAAATCGACTCACAAGGCTAACACTGGTCTTTGGGGCGTGCTGCCCTGCATATTTTAGATGTTTCTCTACTTCAGCACACCTGATTTAATCTGACAGATAAGGCTTTTGAAGAATTTCATGCCAAACTGTTGAGTTTGGTTTGTTAGTGAAGGGATTGCTCTAAAGCCAGGCAGGACAAAAGTCACACTCATCCATTTCTTCCCCAAACGTGTGAGAGACAGGTTTTTATCCCCACTAACCAAGTAAAGGTATTTGCAGGTCTCACTGAGGAAAAAGCTCTCCATGCGATCCTCTTTGGATTTGTCCACGACGTGGTGGAGAGTGGCGTAGCCGCATCTGCAAATAAAGCAGCTCAACTCAACCCAAAGTAGACATGTTGGCGTATAATAGGATCTCCTGAGAACAAAGCCTGTTGCGTAACAAGAGTGACTACAGAATCCACACCTGACTTTGGCATTTCTCTCAAGGCTCTGGAGAATATCCATCCCAACGTGCAAATAGAACGGGTTTTTGGTTGCCTGTGATAAAGAAGAGTATTCAGACAACAAACAGCCCCGCTAAAGCCGAGTAGCAACAGGTTGGCAAATCCCACCTGGTACAGCAGGTAAGTTGACTCCACCAGTTCTGGTCTTAAAGGGTAGAAAAGCACATCAGGAGCCTGCAGCTGCCAGTTATATCTTTCTGGCAGAGCTCCAAAGCGTTTCCAGATGGCATAGTAGAAGGCGTGTAGGCAAATAGCGTCATCGATATCCCCGTTCAGCACCTGAGATAGAAGAGGATTCTTGATTTTATTTTACACAACATGACCTTCTTAGTAAGTTCTCAAAGGAGCGAGCCTACAGCCTCACCTGCAGCCCAGGGAAGAAGGCCTGAAGAGAGTCGATCCAAGTGTTCATTATCTCACCACTAAACATGTTCACATTAACGTAGAGGGGCGGGTCTCCCTCTCCTTCGTTGCAAGACTCTCGCCTAGAGAAAAGCAGGAAAAGGAACGAGTTTCACTTTTGTCTTCTCTAAAAAGTTTCTTGTTTTATAAAATAAATTTGTTTCAAGATTTTAAATATAAAAGTGATGAGTGCTAGTTAGGTGATAACATGATCACACATAATCCCTCCAGCTTGGGACTCACCCCCGCCTCAGGTGGTTCTGTATGCTCTCATAAGCAGCCTTAAACATCCGGTAGTCCTCCTTTTCACCAAAAAGGATGTACGACTTTAGTAAATACTCATAGAATGAGTCCATACCGGCTCCGAGACCACTCTGCTTCCCGACCCACTGGCCTGTTTGGATATTAACAACATTCCCTAAAGGAAGAGATCACAGGAAAGTGTTTTTGTAGTACTTGGAAATATCACTGAAATAGGGGAAGAAACTAAAACAAGTCAAGGAGGAAATGCCTCCCACCTAACACCCAGGCTCTACTCACCCAGCAGACCAGTTTCGTTGCTCCTCAGGCTCCACAGAGCTCTCACCGCCCGTCTCGCCACCCATTCAAATGTCGAATCTCCAATCAAGCGGCTCAGAATGCCAAATTCCACAAGGAGGGACCCAGCTCCTGCAGTGCAAGTCTCGTTGATGCCGTCTTCAGGAACTCCAGTCTTCAGGTTCACCTGCAGGAAAGATACAAATGATGCTGCTGAGCTTTGATCTTCACATTTACTCTCCTCTGATCACAGTGGCCACCTCACTCACCCTGGGGTAAGGAATGCCCGTGCTAGTGTTCTCAAAGGCCGGCAGCAATCGGACGGCCAGATCGTGAGCCAAGTGCAGCAGCTCATTATCATAATCTTTAAAGCCCACTTGTCCAAAGGGATGCTTTGGGTCAGTCAGGAGGATGTGGGCTGAAATAAGACTTCCCAAAATTCTGTGAAGACAGGTAGGTCGTTTTAGAAAGCCTTATCGTACGGAGCTCATAGAAACGAGATTCAGAAGCATCCATACCTGATATTTGCCTCAAAGACTTGCACAGTCGAGTCCTTGTCAAACGAAACCGTCTCTATAACCAGTTTGACAGCTCTGTGGAATTCTGTCACATTGCCGAGCACCTGGGACAAAAAAAAATGAATTGCCCCGTTTAGATCTCCCGGCTCCTTTTGTGTTATCTTCTGCTTGGGAATGTGAATGCTGCAGCTGGGTGACGAAAAAGGAAAACACCTGACCTCAACGGTTTTGTGGCTGACGCAGCAACGAGAATTTCACACCTGCTTTAATGGAGGGCAACTCATGAGATCCACAGCTTACAACAGGGGAAGTGTTAGCCTCATTTAGAGTGAATGTAACACGGGTAACAGCATTTTAAAGTTGTTTTTTATTTTTTACTTTATCTAACCTTTATTTAGCCAGGAAGAAAATCCCGTCGAGATCAAAAACCTCTTTTTCAAGGGAGACCTGGTCTTCTCACTCAGCTCGTCAAAAATGACACGTTTAGAGCTCAAACACCAACAAACACTTTTCTCAGCTCTGCAAAAATTCTAGCTGGACTTTTTTTTTCCACAACTTTTGCTCACTGAGTAGAATTTAGTGAGAGAAATTAAACAGGAAGGAAGTGGAAAACAACTCACCAGGAGAGTGTCCAATGTGTCGATGAGTGTAAGGGAATAGTTCCCCAAGACATCGTTGATGTTGATGTTCGACCTGAAACCAGATGCACAAGTGGAGGACTTTATCACCAAAGCACACAACGGGAAGCACATCTTTTTCTTTAATAATATATTCGGCCAGACTTTAGATGAGTGTGCTCTGAGACTCGGAAGGATTAGCAGATATTCCGTGAAATGGGTGACCTCACACCGTGTAAACAGGATTTGTTAAAGCTTTAAAAGATAAAGAGAAGTGAACATGAGGGTTAATGATCGCCCTCCATACACTGTTTTATCCAAACAGGCTAAAAACGGTTAGAAAGCAGAAGAAACCCATCATTAAATCTCATTTATCTGCCTTAAAACAATCTACCACAGCATCAAAATAACACTTTGGGTCCTAAATGTGCACCTAAACATCAGTTTGGAACCTCAACATCAGCAGAAACAAGAACTTTTCCACCCAGACATAGTTTTAATAACCTACCATGACTGGAGAACAGCTGTTATCGTCCTATACACCATGATGTTATTAGACCCTATTTCTAGTCATAGTGTTCAGAGCTATCAGCACACAATAACTATATTTGGTTGGAAAACAGAGACAATGTCTCAGCTACACTTCATTTTATCCCTCTGAATTTAAAATATATTTTAAAACTACTTTGTTTAGCCTTTTAAATTAACTTAGACATTATTATCTGATGTCACTTAGGGTCATGGGATGAGCCACAAACATGATCTGTATGATGATGATCACCTCAACTCTAAAACTGAACTGTAACTGTATTTTGTTGAATTACCTGAAAGACCGAGAGGATCAAACTAATCCACGTTTGTTTTTCTGTTTGCTGCTCTACCAGAGGAAACCTTTGTGACCTTTGACCTGTTTAGTGCTGAGTAGCACGCACACTAACCCACCAGTGACAGCTGGACGGTCCTAGAAGCTAATTTGACAGTGAAGTAAAAGCAGATCTCCGTCTGAAGGAGACTGGTAGGACCTGACAGGACCAGGAGCAGCAGTGACTCACGGGTTGAGGACGTCTGGACCTCTCCCTTCACAGTCAATGGGATTCAGCTCGTCCTCTGGGAAGGCATATTTCATGTAGTTCTCATACCCAAAGTAAAACATTTCTTTGGCCATGCCTTTCATTTTCAGTTTCAGCGTGTCCGGGAAGGAGCTGTATTTCTGGACGTACTCGTCCTTGTTGCCATCGAAGAGGCTCAAGTAGGATCTTTTGGAGGACTCCTCTCCAATCTTAGAACAGCTCGTCGTCGACTCTTCATATTTCTGTCCTTGTATTCGTTGAGACCAAGAGTTACTCTTCGGCTCGGAACCCCGTTCCTCCCTGAACAATAAATCTAATTTGTGCAAATTAAAACTGATGGGGAAGTGAAACCCCCAGCTAACACTTGGTCCCAGTCCGAATGCTAGCCACAAAACACAGCTAACAGAAAGTCTCAGTACCACCAGACCAACTACTATCGACCTCCATTGCATCTTTGCCTCTGACCGGTCTTAAAACGCATAATTCAAGTCCGCATTTCTTCCCAAGGTGTGTCGAAACGCGAAGACCGCTGTTCGTCTGGATGAAGACCAAAGACACGAAGTTGTTCAGTAGTGATTCCGCCTCACACACTTCCTGTCAACAAACCAGCCCCTCCCAGATCCTGCTATGTGATTGGCTAGTGTTTCACAGAGTACGCGCTGATTGGTCAACAACTAGCTGTCAATCTTATCGCTGAGTTTCGTGGCACTCGGTTCTTCCGCACCAATAGAAAACGTCCACACGTGTGAAACGTTCAGGAGCCGAAACATAATTTGGTTAAATTTACATTCTGACATATAAAACGTTGGAAAGCACCCAAGCGTGAAGAGCACACAGCTATCTTCAGATTTTGCCCACCCATCCTCCACTCAGACCGGTAAAGGCTGAGAAGTTCCGATATTTTAAAAATGTGTATATATCCAAAAGGATCTCGTCAGTATTCCTGCATTTTCTTGTTTAGCCTTTTGTTTCTGTTGTGTACATAATTGCCGCTGTCACACCTAATTGGTTCCACTAAAAAAGGGTCAAAAAAGAGATTTCTATTTTGTTCTATCCACGAAGGTCTCAGAGTAGAGCCTCTGCTCTTTCATCAGCAGCTCTCTCTTTTACAGGGGTAGTGTTTTATTCTGCTTTTTCCATTTGTGATGTCACAAACATGGGCTTTTTGAAAAGGCTTGTTTTACACACATCGTTCCTAAAAACAAACACTGACAGAAAATTGATACAGGTTTTTTTTTCATGTTTGCAGTGTTTGAAGAGGCATATATGTATATATGTAAACATATTTTTGTATTTTAGTATAAACACTAGAAAGAATGCTACAGGGTTTCAACTAAATAATATGCAAAACAGCCACATCTAAATTTAAAAGCATGCCTTTTTATTCTTTAATACATATTTTTGAACTCTACCCAGGTAGATGCACCTTGCATGCTGCTTTCCTTCAGAGGTGAGAGACGCTACACAAGGCACTTTGAATTCTACCGTCCTCTCAGTCCGGATGCAGCACAGACCACATTATTTCACCAAAGCCATGATACAGAGGCCAATAGGAACCACACAAGCCTGTACAGCTTTACCTTTTGTACATTCAGACATTAAATAGAATCATATATTCATACACACACACACACACACACACACACATCCAAACATTGGTAAAAATTATACTAGCTTAATATTTGTACAGACCTGCTTAAATGCACATTTTTGTAAAACAAAAGTTACGCAAAGAGTGGCAGCCATCAAAAACAATCACAGAAAAGAGCTGAACAGAAACAGGAAAGTTGTCTACATCACACCCAAAATTTTATCAAAGTGAGGCCCATCTCGCAAAGTTTATGTTGTTACAAACCCATGTGGGCATGACTATTTTATAACGTTCCTGAAAGGTAAAATTTGGCAACAAAAAATAACGGTTTCTTGTATTCAAGTAAAAGTACAGCTTTACAAGACCAACAATGCCAACTTAACGCCTTACATTTGGAAAGTTTAAGTAGTGCATTATCTGGGTTTGTGAAACAAGCAGAACCGAGCTGCAAGTGAAATGGAAATACAACTGTACATCATCAATGCAGAGTGGTGAAGGTTTGACATGACAGGAACATGGCAAAGACAGCTGGGAAACATCTGCATTCAGCTCCTGCGAGATTTTGAGTGTTGGATGAGCCACTGAAGTGTGATATCTACAAAACCAAACAAAAAAATAACAGAACTATCAAATCAGTCAAAATAAAGAATTCCACTGGTTTCGAAGGTAACTGTACACAAATACTTCATTAGATCAATATTTTAGTAGAAACAGAAGAAAAAAACTGAGAAGAGTACATTTGCAGACCTTCTACATTGGCATGAAATTTAAACAACAGATTTAAATAAAGGACGAATAAAGTTTTAATAAAGCAATCATCTCTTGTCAAAAGTAAAGTTACTGTAGTAATTAATATCAACTTGCCAATGTTGTCTTTCTCTTTGCAGGAAACAGAGTAGCAGCAGATCTCTCTGTCTTGAATAGCTGCTAAATTCCTATAAACAGAAATAATGACACATGAATAAACATGACAAGCATGTCTCCAAGCTCATAATCTGCCTCATTCTTCTGGCGTTTTAAAGATGCGTGCAGAGTTCTAACATGCCAAAAGAGGGAGCTAGTGAGCCACAGATGAAAGCCACTAAAAGAAATTAAGGTTTGGAAAACTACTGATAAGTTTTTATCAAACAATATACGGACATGTAGACAATATATATTGAGTTTTTTTTTTATTTAAAGTACATATAGTTTATTTGTGATTCTACAGTAGACTAGGGTAGTTTGTCATTAAATTTAGGATACCAAATCTTTTTAAATGTTCATACTTACATTTTCTCAATAAGCTGCTTTTCATCTAACGCATCTGGAAGATCCCTTTTGTTACCGAGTACCAAAACCTAAAGGGAGGAGAGACAAAACACTGAAACTGCAGGGATGCAGCTAAAGACAACCACACAAAGTTTTCCCTGACTACAACAGAAATGACTCAGGCCTACACATTTACATTCAGGTGAACACTTACAGGAATTCCTTGCAGCTGAGGCTTGTCTAATAAATTATGAAGCTCATTCCTGGATGCCTCCACCTTTTCTCGATCTGCAGCATCAACCATGTACCTGAAAAGAAGCATTATCGAAAATCCGTCTGGCACCAGGCATAATTAATAGCAGGCATAATTAATAGAATTTGGTTTTCTTGGAAGATGAATCATTTTGAAGTGTTTTGGACACTCACACGATTGCATTAACTCCCCGACAGTACCGCTCCCACATGCTCCTGAACCTTGGCTGTCCTCCTATATCCCAGATCTACAGAATGAGGAGTGGAAGACAAACTTTCCAACATCAACAATGTAAACGTTTTGTGTTTATTAAAATAAAACACATCAGTGTTCTTTTAAAGACAGAGTAAATCTGAACCTTGATGGTGACGTTTCCTTTAGTGACTTTCCTCATGTTGAAGCCGACTGTTGGGATCATATCTTCACTGAAATGCCCCGACTAAAAGGAAAGACGACAAGACGGAAAACAGTGTTCTTCATTTGTTCACAATCAGCACTGATGAAATGTTTTTAAAACTCATTCACTCGTTTTTTTCCCCAATAAATCTGTAGTGGTCTCTGGTAGATATGAACGCTTTTTAAGTCATGCTCTAAAAAAAACTCTGGCGCTCCTGTTTCAGGAAGTAGAGGTTAGCCAGAAGACTGGGGAGCAGAAAACAGCAGGATTTGCATTCTTATTAATATTCATAATATTCAAACATCTCACTTCTGACTGGCTAACAGCAATGCAACTTGATGTTTTAGCTCCACAAATAACCAAAGCGTAAAGAAGTTCTGCTGTGTGGTGGAGTCGCTAATGCTAATAGTTAGCTTCTACTAATTCAGATTATCTGTGGTTTCCTGGATGCTAAAACAACAACACAAGTCAAGATGGATGACTCCATGAATGTTAAGTGACAGTGTGACATAGATCTGTGAGGCTTTTCTGACCCAAGCATTTCCCCGTTTATTTTCTATCAATGGCTAATGCAGGAAATAGGGGTAGTAGGCCGTTTTTACATTCAGTCTGCACATTAAAGTCAGACGGACCAATCATATTTCAAAAGTAACAATTAAAATAACTGTTTCTACAGCCCCCTTCAGACAGGCCATGAAAAACGGAAATGTTCCGGAATCTGTCCGTAAGACCTTTGTGTCTGAATACAAACATCCGGATAACGTGTTCCGGAATTTATCCGGACGAAGCCCCTAGTAACATGTCCGGACTTGTTACGGACAGGGTGGCTGCTTCAGACTGGTGAGGTAAAGTTCCGGACAAGGGGGAGGGGGGGGGAGGAGGAGGGGACCGGGGGACGCTGTGCGCACCTAGATAGCTCGCTCCTGTAGCATACGTCGAACCATGGCAGCTCGCCTCCTACGGTACCGCCTAGACGCGCGACGGAGCGCTTCACACCGCTTCAGTGATTCCTTTAACCATTGAGCTTCATCATCCAGGTCTCTTATGCGTCTTCGTGTGCGCAGAATTATGCTTAAGCGCCTCGTGATTTTTATCTTGAGAGGCGCTATAGAAATGATATTTTCTTCTTCTTCTTCTTAACATAAGTCCGATTCACACCCCCCCCCCCCCCCCCACCCCCCCCCCCCCACCCCGCTGCCAGACATCTGGAACTTTTCCCTGCTGTGTGAACGCAGCCGAAAGGACAAGTTCCGGTACAAAAGTGGTGTGTCTGAAAACACAGTTCCGGTTAAAAACCGGATTGAATTGTCCACAAATGTTCCAGAATGTCAGTCTGAAAAGGGCTTTAGTGAACTGGTGGTGGTGAAACTAGCTGGTGGTGGTCGGAGGGACCGGTGGCGCCAGTGCTCGGCAGCCTCGCCTCTGTCAGTGCGCCCCAGGGCAGCTGTGGCTACATCGTAGCTCATCACCATCAGCATGTGAATGTGTGTGTGAATGGATGAATGATACACTGTAGTGTAAAGCGCTTTGGAGTCCTTACTCTGAGAGGCGCTATACACATGGTATCTGCAGGTTTAAGGGAGCCAAATTTAAGACATTTTAAGACCTTTTTAAGGCCACTTAGACCAAATTTAAGCTATTTTTCTAAATAAAATTTAAGCTATAATTTCCAGCTATTGCCTGGAACCGGTGCTAACCACGTCGCAAACGTGGGATTAGCCATCCAGTTACATTAAACTTGCACTTCCCCATGGTGCAAGCTCCCACTAGCTTAACCAGCTAATGTGCTCATCTAAAAATAGTCCCCTTTCACAACCAACTGAATGTGTACGGTTCCGCTTACGCCAATATCGTACACAAAAAATGCTGAACACTAACGAGAAATTCACAAAAATTTTATAGAAATGAAACAATCCTGTTTATTGGGTCTTTGGTCATTTAAGACCTTTGGAAACTCTATTTAAGGATTATTTGTCATTTTTAAGGATTTTTGAGGCCTTAAATTTGGAAAAGCAAATTTAAGACTTTTTAAGACTTTTTAAGGACCCGCGGATACCCGGTATACAAGTGTGGGTCATTTATCATTTAACATGTAAATCAATAAGTTTGTTTTGGTTTTATCTTTATGCTAACAACAAAAACAAGGATCACATAAAGTGCATCAACCTTGTGTTTTCACTTTAGATGAACATAAAACAAACCAAGATCCTTCTGATCTTACCTTCTGATACCTTAAAAAGTACCTTTAAACTCTTGTCAAGAACCTGTTTAGATGGTATTTGATATGGTGCCAAACTCAACTAAATCCAAATCTACATGTTTCTGGCTTGTCTGACAGCTTTTTCATGACTTTAACGCTGAAGAGGGATGAAGATCTGAGACTGAGTCAGTGGCATTCCCCTTCTATGTTTACGTCTACAAGATTGTTTCCCCATCTCCTTTATAAACTTTAACACACTCACACGCCACCAGATATGCACATATTTCACAGCACATGACTTTCTGCAGTCACCTGACGCAGCTAAGTGGAAATGAGTGCAGCGGTCTTATGACTGGGAGGAGGAACCACCCATGCAGCAGCCATTCATGACATCACAACATGACAAACTGGCCGGGTAACTTTCACAACTCTAAAGACATAAAAGAGAGCCGAGTCGAGTTTACACCTTTATTTGACGTCTTCCACTGATTACCTGCTGTCTGATTTTGAATTCAAAACAATCCAAGCTGACATTTTTTTTCTTGTTTCTAATCATAAATGCTCAATTAAACTTTCCTAAGTGAATTTTTCTAATGTGTGGCTCCTAAGATGGCAATGGTCACAGACTGGATAAATGCATAATATTTCTCCATTGTTAAGTCAATGTTGACAAATTTAGCAGCACATATTCATAAAGACTTTTGTTGGAAAGTATTAAAAGTAATCAAATCTGTCTATGTTTGGTATTTTTGATGGAGAAACAAGACCTGCTTGATCAATATTCATTTATATGTTTTCTGTTGTTGATACACTTTTAAGATATCGCTTTAAACATACATAAGCACAGATTTTTTAAATATAAAAACAGGAAACTTTATTTTGGAATTGAAACAAAGCAATATAAATGATTTTAGTGGAATTAATGTATCAATATGGGAATAGTATTGTCAGATCTGCATGTCAAGTGAAATGTGCAGTAATGTAAATGTGCATGAACATCAACCAGTGTGAACACTCAGCTTAGAGCTGCACTAATGAACAACTGCAATTGTCATTGGGGTTGGGGTTAGCTGATGGGTGGTCTGAGCTGATGAAGCAAGAAGATATGCAAGATCTATTCTGAGTCTCTATAGCTCTTTTCCATCGCCTAGTCTGGAACGGTCAGGACTGGGTATTATGGACCAGTATGTAAGCCTTTTTCAATGAACCCTCATGCAAAAAGGAAATGTTGCACAACAGCGATTTGGCAATTAAAATTGCTTCATTAGGAGCAACCTGCATTTCACACATCTCTGCAAAAGTTGGGTAAGAAACCAATTAGCTTGTGCAAATAAACCGAATAATGTCACACAGGAAGACATCTTTATCACACTTTGCATCTAAACTTTGTTTCAGACAACTTCTTGTTCTTTGTTTGATCTTAAGATTTAAAAATTAATTAGAATTAAAATAATTTAATTTTCAAAATATGAAATTAGAAATCAAGTACTTTTTTAATGAGGATTTTCTCAGCTTGCTTCCATTAGAGCTGGGAATGGAACGACTAATTTAACATTTTTTTAATATTAACTTTTTGGAGTTAACACGATTTCTGCAAATCTGCAAACAAAAGATGACACCAAAGTATCCAGATGACTGTGATCCATCCTGTTTATCTACACTTTTGCAATAATCATCAACTTTTTCTAACTTCCTGGTAACAGAGAAAGACAGCTTGAAATTTCCCATCGTTTGGATGCATTAAAACTAAGAATCACTGCCACTTTTTGATGTTTACAGTGAGTAATCCCAGTTTGCAAGCAGCAAATAAGTTAGCCAAGCTGATGTGTTGACAAACACCTCCAAGGTGACTTATCCGCAGGTGTTTTACAAATGCAGCAACCGGCGGGGTTACGTTTTTTCGCCTCTTGTGACAAAAACACAGTTTAAGTTATCCCTGACCCAGCTTGGACACTTTTATACCATTATTAGCGCTAAAGCTAATAGCAATAAGCTAGCAGTGTGGCTAGTAGCTGCTTAAGACTTACAGCGATCACGTTAACAAATGTTGTTTTCCCAGAGTATTGCAAGCCGACCAACGTCAACTCCATTTCTTCCTTCCAAAACAGGGACTTAAACCAGTCCAAAACCCGATTTATTAGTGCCAGCATCTTGAGGTTAGGTGGTTACGCTCCCCCGTGGTGGTATACGTCTCCCTCCCAGCGATGTGGCGTTTTTTTTCCAGTAAGGAAGTGGGACATCAGCAGCTGTCATATGATCAGTGAGACAAAGCTGGACTAGCGCCTCTACTGGAAGACAGAGAAACTACAACAACTTTTAACTATTGGAGCGAGATTCAAACATTTAAAAATTTTATTGTCCTTCTCTACAAACTATGGAAGCCCATTCCTATGGAAGCCCATTCCCGCCACTCAAATAAAAAAATTATTATCTCATGATTATGACTTAGTATCTCATAATTATGACTTAGCTATCTCATAATTATGAGATTCTATCTCATTATTATGACTTAGTATCTCAAATTTATGACTTAGCTATCTCATAATTATGAGATACTATCTCATTATTATGACTTGGCTATCTCATAAATATGACTTAGCTATCTCATAATAATGAGATATTATCTCATTATTATGAGATAGTATCTCATTATTATGAGATAGCTAAGTCATAATTGTGAGATAATAATTTTTGTTTTATCTGAGTGGCGGGAATGATGGTATCTCATTATTATGAGATAGCTAAGTCATAATTATGAGATAATAATTTTTGTTTTATCTGAGTGGCGGGAATGATGGTATCTCATTATTATGAGATAGCTAAGTCATAATTATGAGATAATAATTTTTGTTTTATCTGAGTGGCGGGAATGGGCTTCCATAACAAACAGAGCATGTAGTTGAATGAAATATATTTTATGGAAGCTTATTACTGCCACTTCAAGACTAGATAGAATAACTTGTGAGTTTTGAAGTACTGATAACTTTCAAACTCATACTTATTTTTAATTTTTACATCCTTAGGTGTAGGAATGCAGGAATGTGTCTTAGGAATTTTAAAGTCTTACTCGATATTTAAAGATAAATTTATAAATCTCAGTTACATTTTTTGAGTTATTGTCATAACTTTGAATTTTAAAGTCATAATTATGAGCTCCAAAATCACAAACATACATTTTTGTGTAATAATTTTAAGTTTTAACTATTGTAGATTACTTAATCAAATTTGCATCCAACCATTTCTGGTCTTAAATCAACCAGAGGGGGTATGAGGATTAACACCATATTTAAAAACCTGCCACAACTAGTATTACACATTACTACTGCTTATTAGTTACTGTTGTTTTTTTATAATGACAACTTAAAATTAAACTGATCAATATTTAGTTGTTAACATTGGCCAATTAATAGATCTGTTTTAATATCTAGATATTATTAATTTTATTTCAGGGATGAAAGGGTTAAAGCCATATTTATAACTTTCAGAGTCACGTAAGATAGAAAATCTTTATTGCGACACAAAATGTGTCTATTTTTTTTAAAGTGGCAGAAAGCAGCTTCCATATATATTTCAAAACAACGTTTTACTGAACAGAAAAAAATAGAATGACAAGAAGGGCTTGGTTCCTTGGTCATTTGTTCCACGTTTAGATTAGTGTTCTGTTTATTTGTTTGTTTGTTTGTTTGTTTTAGATGTTACTAGAAAAACTGAAACATCAGGAAGCATTTTAAAATAACAACTTTGTCACGATCTGCCCCTGCCCGCCTGACTGTGTTCCTCTCCTGCTATGATTACCCTTATTGTTCTCACCTGTCCCTCGTTTGCCTGCCCATGTTTCCCTAATTAGCCCTCTGTATTTATACCACCTGTTTTGCCCCTGTCCTTTGTCAGTTCATTGTTGTTGTTGTTGTTTGTTGGTGTTCCTGTTCATCCCATCCTGCCATTAAACCATTTTTTTACTTTTACTGAAGCCTGCATTTTTACCTCCTGCTCAGCTCATCCACACATGGTCTGCCGTCTCCACCTCCTACACCATGACAAACTTACAATATGTCTTAAAAATGTTTGAAAAAACACTGCATTCTTTTTCTGTTTGTTTTTTTTTTCTTAATAAAAGATTTTTAAAAATTAATGATCGGATTCAGTCACGTAAAAGCAAACAACATTAAAAAATAACTAAATTATACTGAAGAAAATAGAAGATTAAAGATCCTATATGGTTTTCTACATATTTTCTCCTGATCACAGTTTCTTTGCAATATATCATATGTACAAAGATCATTGCCTGTATCCCCTTTATTCTTTCATAAATAATTTTTTAATGAATTAACAAACTTACATTTTTCACCTTCAGTTTTAATCAACAGCAAATACGTTGATTTCATTCATGAATAGAGGAATTTTCCATACCATTCTGAAACCTAAAAATAGATGGCAAAAGATGATTCCATATAAATTAATGCAGATAATTTTATTCAACTTTGAAATATTTATCATCATCCCCCTCTTTATTCCATGCAACAGTTGACTGAAATGTTTAAATAAATACTGAATATTTAAATTGGTGCAAATCACACATACAGGTAAAAATCCTGTTATAGAAAGTCTAAGTTCACTCATTATTGTTTTTTCAATATTTTTTCAATAAAACTACAGTGGTTTCTAGAATAAATGAATGCCTTGTGCTTCGATCTCCATCCATCCATCCATTGTCTGAATCCGCTTTGTCCACGTAGGGTCGCAGGGGAGCTGGCGCCTATCTCCAGCGGTCAACGGGCAATCAGGCGGGGTACACCCTTGACAGAGAGCCAGTCCATCGCAGGGCAACACAGAGACACACAGGACAAACACACACACACACACACACACACACACACACACACACACACACACACACACACACACACACACACACACACCTAAGGAAAATTTAGACAGACCAAATAACCTAACAGTCATGTTTTTGGACTGTGGGAGGAAGCTGGAGTACCCAGAGAGAACCCACACATGCACAGGGAGAACATGCAAACTCCATGCAGAAAAAATAGGATGCAAACCCAGGACCTTCTTGCTGCAAGGCAACAGCTCTAACCACTGTGCCAATGCGCAGCCATGAGTCATCTCTTGGGAAAAAAAGCTCTGACGCTCCTGTTTCAGGAACTAGAAGGGAGACAGAGCAAAGGGGAGCAGAAGATGGCAGGAGTCTTATTTTCTGATATTTGAACTTCTCACCTTTGATTGGTTGTCAGCAACAAATTCTACCTTTGACTCAATTTGCTTTGAAATGTTGATGTTTTATTTCTACAAATAACACAAGCCTGAAGGAGTTCTGCTGTGTGAGGGAGTTGCTAATGCTAACGATTAACTTCAAGTAGCTGAGCCATGCTCTGCTCTCTCCTGGATGCTAAACCAACAACAGCTTTACCCTTGTTGCAAGCCTATGACTGAGTCCATGAATGCTAATTTTCAGTGTGACAATGTGTAGTTTACTTAAGAGAGTTTTTGCATCTATTTACTATCGGCTAATGCAAGACATAGGGGTAGAAGACTATTTTCACATTTAGCCTGCATGTTAAATTGAAAGAGACCAATCACAGGACTGCCAGCTTTCATGAGTGTGAGACTCATGCATCTGATCCTCTTCACACGCTCTCATGCCACACCTGCACCCTGCTCTCACGTGTCGAAAAGTTCAGACGTTGGTAGCCCTGCAATCATATTTTTATAAATAAGTAAAAATTGTTTCTCAGTTAACTTGGTCTTAAACAAATAACTTAAAGGTGTGAATCACTGAATGGCCATTTTTAATGATAATTTCTGATTATAACTGGTCACTCTGAGTTTATCATGCAGGCTGAACATGAAAATAGTCTCCAACACCTGTCTCCTGCATTAGCTTCTGATGGAAAATAGATGGTGAAACTCTGGGATTGGAAAAGTCTGACAGATCTACGTCACACTGTCACTTAACATTCATGGATTCACCCATCTTGACTTACGATGGAAAGTGCTGTTGTTGTTTTAGCGTCCATGAAACAGCAGACAACTTCTCAGCTAGTAGAAGCTAACTGTTAGCATTAGCAACTCCACCACACAGCAGTGTTCCTCCAGGCTTGTGTTATTTGTGGAGAGAAAACATCAATGTTGCAGAGCAAACAGAGTCAGTGGTAGAGTCGCATTGCTGTTAGCCAATCAGAGGTCAGATGTCCAAATATCAGGAAAGAAGACTCCAGATCCTGTCGTCTGAACCTCTCCTCTGATACGGCAATTGTCTAGTTCCTGAAACAGGTGCACAAGAGCTTTTTTTCCCAGAGTACGATTTACAAGACATTAATTCCTACTAGGGACCACTGCAGATGTATTAATTAAATGAGTGCTCTTTCTTAATAAGTGCTTGGATGTGATGTTGCTACTTTACCTCCCTAACACTGATCTGATAAGAGGTTTAGCCTTTCGTTCCCTTTCCTCATCGATCAACTTATCGAATCTTTATGAAAGACATTTGAGACACCAAACAAAATAGATTTTTACATCATCTTCCTGGCTGGGGCTGATTGGGATGACCAATGTTATGAAAGACTGGAGACTTTTTCCAGATCCTCCATGCTCAAACTGCTACTGTCCTTGGATTCATCCTGGATGACGAGCTGAAATCCACTCTCCTCCTTTGACAGGTGAAAGTCACTTGTTTTACACTGGACTGCTTGGATGGGCTTTTTATCTGAGGCAGAGATGGTCGGTGTTTTAGTGACAGGATAAAACTTACATCCTCGGAGCAGATAGACATGCCAAATCACTTCAGATAAATGATGTTACCTGCCTCACAGACCGCTTGTATTAACAATGTCTAAATTCTAATCGGACCAAAACCTGAATTTTTTAATAATGTTGTGAGTTCATGTGCTTCTCATTCACATTTTCACAGTTCATTTTTATTTTAAGCCATATCGACAGATGTTCTTTCAGTCTCTGCATAACAGGAAATTCACAGGAAATAGTTAAGAAGGAACACTTTGTTATTTATTTCTCGTCGATATATGTTGGTTTTGGCCACATTGCTGTGTAATTGATTGATTAAAATCATGCTTGTGTTATAATAAATGAATACCACATGCACCTCCTGGATCCGGTAATGTTTTTCATTAAGGGCTTGCTTACTTGCAGCTTGCTTCCTGATGTTCCTCCAGCAGGTGTGAGACACAAAGATGAAGAGGGTGAGGGAGAGCAAAACAAAGCCAAAGCAGAGGATCATGTACACCGAGTTGTTGTCATCTGGAGAGAAATCACATTAGAATGAACATTTTCATCTTTAAATGGTGGGCCAATCACAGCACCACAGTTTGTGAGCGAGATGTTACCAATACAAAGATGGCGACAGCTTGTTTGAAACGGTTTTGGCATCAGCTTTGGACTATTTAGACTTGGGCTTTTCTTTGAATCAAGAACAGGTGGAGGTACTTAAATTTATTTAGAAAAAGGACATATTTGCATCTTCTTTGATGGAGTATAGTGGACTTCCTCGGTGACTAACATTCGTAACAGCAAGTACATCATGTTGTTTGTTATCCAATAGAAGAGACAGCTTGAAAGACAACAGTAGATCCCGCTCCATGACTGAGAGCCATCAATGGACCATGGCCAGACTATGTATTCACATATATAGGATGACTTGCCAGGCTAACCTTATACAGTATATATAGCAAATTCTAAAATACATCATAATGTTGTTGCTGCAAACAGGATGTGATGCTGTGGTAACTTACGTGGCTTTTGACAAATTGAGTCATGGGTATTGTTTCCAGGAATCTTTTCAACGAGTCCAAGAGTGATGCATCTGTTGACCAAAACATGTTACATTAGTAAAGGAAAGGAAACTTTTATCATTCATTCTGCCAAAAGCATTTTTCACTATATTTGGATTTTGTGACTAGGAAATTTTGCTAAAGAGTAAAACGTTTCTTGCACCAACCAAAGGTTTGATGGTTAAAACTGATAGGTGCCACTGATGTATGCCAACAACCACGTTATATGAAACAATAGCAGTTTTAGTGTTTTGTCAGCCACAACACAGAACATCAAAATAGTTTATTTATTCATCAAAATTCAGCAACCAGTCCGAGTGTACTGTTTATTTCCACCAAACCTGACTCATTCTCAGATGACACCCGTCTGCCCATTTGCTATGGAAAATAAAGCACAAACATTTAAAACCAGTAAAAATTTCCACTATTTTGCATTAAATGAGACATGTTTTCTTTCAGTCATCAACAAACCCAGCAGTCCACCCGTCTAAAAGTCCTTAACAATTTTGTGAATAACTTTTGTTTCTTTTGTCCTGCATTTTCCATCCAGTCCTTTCATCTGAAGAGCAATTTTTTTGTAATGTGTGCTCAAAAATAAGCAACAAAAGTGGAAGACAAAAGAAGAAGTGTCCTTCTTGAAGGACTTTTTATGATATAGCTAAAATCTCAGAAAAGACTTGAGAAGTGAATCGTCCTTAAGTTGATCATGCCAGGTTTTCAGCTGAAAGCTCTCATCGTGGTCAACACGTTACATCGTGTCAGTGAAACGCACTACGTGGGGTAATCGCTTGAGTTGTGGGAGCACCAGCTCCCCCAAGATCCTCATAAGGATGAAGCAGTTCATATCCATTTTCCTCCATTTCTCTGGGGTCGGTTTCCGGGAGAAGCAAGCTAAGTAAAGAGGCCCAGCCTTCCCTCTCCCCAGCCACTTGGACCAGCTCCTCCGGGAGAATCCCAAGTGTTCCCTGGTCAGGTGAGAGACAGTTCCTCTAGTGTGTCCTGGGTCTACCTTTAGGTCTCCTCCCAGCAGGACGTGCCCGGAAAACTTCACCAGGGAGGTGTCCAGGAGGCATCCTAACTAGATACCCGAGCCACCTCAGCTGGCTCCTCTCGATGTGGAGGATAAGCAGCTCTGTTCTGAGCCCCTCCCGGATGACCGAGCTTCTCACCCTACCTCCAAGGGAGAGCCCAGCCACCCTGCAGAGAAAACTCATCTGGGCCGCTTGCATCTGAAATCTCATTCTATCAGCCACTACCCAAAGCTTGTGATGGTAGGAACTTAGATCGACCGTTAAATCGAGAGCTCTCTCTTCACCACGACAGACCGGTACAACGCCCGCATCACTGCAGATGCAGCACCAATCCGCCTGTCGATCTCACGCTCCAGTTTTCCCTCACTGGTGAACAAGACCTCAAGATACTTGAACTGCTCCACTTGGGTCAGGACCTCATCCCTGACCTCTGACTCAAGACCATGTCTGAAACCCAAGTTCCCTAAGTTGAACAACAATAAGGTAAATGCATCATCATCATCATCATCATCAAGCAAGTGGGGTACACCCTGGTTGCCAGTCCATCACAACTATTTATCCTATCCTGTCTAATCCTCTAAGTTGCATCAGGTTCATCTGAAAAATTCTGTTGTATTCAGGTGTGCCTTTTTGTCTGACACTCCACTCATCAGGAATAATCTTCAGATCACTATCAGCTTTTACAATTCTCTCTCTGTTAAAGTCTGTTGCAACCATTGGAAACTTTTAAAACATTATAAAAATACAAGTGATTGAGATAAAAGAAAACCCTTTTCAATGCATCTTACTGTGTCTTTGGCTTGCAGGTGTCCTCCTTTGAATCAAAGTATTGGTATTCAGGACATTTAGGTTCACACTGATATAAATACTGACCCGGTGGATGCTCTAGACAGACAGACAGACAGGTCTTTGGTTATTTCCATTATGTATCTGTGGTCAACCCCTCTCACCACCCACTATCATCGATAAACAAAAGCAGTAATGTATGCATTTCTGCAGGCTTAAATCTGTTTATGCAAAGTATAGATTAAATCTGACTTTTTTCTTTCATCTGTCAATTCTCACCTGTCCTTTTTGGTTTTTCTTCAACTGAGCATGTGTTCATTTCACAAACAGAGCAAGTGCTGTTGGAGCACAGGAAACCAGAAGGACATAGACAGGTTCCGTTTGTTCTAACGCACTTCCCTGTAGAATCAGCAAAAAAAAAAAAAAGTAAGAGTTAATACCACAATCTTGTACAACTTCAGCGAATATCTGTGTATATCATTATTGATATTCCAGCAGCATGTTACCGTGTTGGCATGAGCATTGTTCACAGCGGTCAAAGGTGTTATGTTCAGGGGAGTAATACCCCTCCTCACAGGGTTGACAGATAGTTTGATGATCCACAGAACAAAAGTCCTTCATGTAAGTACCTTTTACATAAGACACACATAGATTCTGTTCTCTACCACACTGATCACAAATGTTTTTAACAAAACAGAATGTTTCATGTACATTTAATGTGAAACCATACATGTATCCAAATTACTAGATCTATCTATAAGTCAGCTGCTTACCTGGGGGGCACTCATTACAGCAACGTCCATGTATCCTTCTTTGTAAAGCAGGACATCCTATGTTCTGTGCGATAGTGCAGAAGCTCAGTAAACACGCTGATAATAAAGCCATGGAGAAGCTGAGAGGACTCATTGTGATCAGTGCTCTTAATCCTCTCTCTTGGGTTTTATATAACCTCTTCTCTGACGTCAGTTTGACTCTGGAGGAAGTGAGAGACCACTTGTGACGTACCTCAAACTTAGAAGCTAGAAAAACAACATAAGATGAATTTGGTCATTTTATTCACAAATCACTCACATTTAATACACTTTTTGTTCTTTGTTTTGCCATTATTATTATTATTATTATTATTATTATTATTATTATTATTATTATTACTACTATTACTATTATTACTATTATTGTTATTAATTCAATCCAATTCAAGTTTATTTATATAGCACCAAATCACGACAGGAGTCGTCTCAAGGCACCTCACATAGTAAACATTCCAATACAGGTCAGTTCATTAAGCCAATCAGAAAAAAAGTTTCCTATATAAGGAACCCAGCAAATTTTCATCAGTTACAGCAATCCTCATACTAAGCAAGCATTTAGCGACAGTGGAGAGGAAAACTCCCTTTTAACAGGAAGAAACCTCCAGAGGATCCTGGCTCAGTATAAGCAGCCATACACCACGACTCACTTATTATTATTATTATTATTATTATTATTATTATTATTATTATTATTATTATTATTATTATTATTATTATTATTATTAGGGCCTCATGCCTTGAGATTTTCCTAGAAACTATGTAAAAAGTATGTTTCCTATTGAGCGTCATTTTTAAGAAACTAGACAGATTTACTGTATATGTGAGTATTTGTATTCAACAAGCTGACATTTATATATTTTTTTGGAAATAAAAGTTCCACAGTTGTACCTACTTTTATTTAATCTAATTGGTTAGTAATTGTTTGGTTCTCTTTCAATTGGTGAGAATAAACTGATTTAAGCAAAATGCAAAAACAAAGTTTAATCAGTATGGAAGAGGATTAGAGCCACGGGGGGTGGGGGGGGGGGGGTGAAAAGAAAGGGAATTCTGGCTTATTTTTTCCTCAAATTCTGACATTTTCTCAGAATTATTAAATGGTTTCCAAAGCGTTTTATCTTCTTATATAAAGCAAGGGCTTTAGTAAAGTTGAGCTTTATAAATTCACATCTATTAAACTTCCCCTGACTTATATGAATTAGTTTGCAAGCAGCGTAGAATGTCTACTAAAGAATTTGTTTACTTTTTATTCACATCATAAAAAATTGTTGACTTGTGCTAGGAAATCAAATGTGTCTTTACTTGGGGTAGTAACAAAATCTCCTTACCTTTGTGTCATGGTGCGCAACACAGCAAGTACTGCAGAAACGGAGAGTATGGTGTCTGCACTCTCTGTGCAAAGCATGAGTGTGCATGCATGCATTGGTGTGGAAAGTACAGGTATGTTGCAAGAAGCACATTTTCTCGAAAGGGCATGTGCATAATATGTAGTGGTAAATGTTATGTGTGGAAAGCTTATTTAAGCTCAGAGTGAACCCCAAAAACGCCTTTAAATAACAGATCTATTGAAACATGTTGTTATTAATTTCTTTACAATTACCTTCACGCATTTTTTACTTTGTTACACCTTTTTTAAAAGTCTATCTTTATTGGATAATTGTTGGTCTGAAACTGTACTTTCCTGCCTTAGACAACAACTCACTTAGTAGAATCAAATATATTCTTATGAATGACTTTTCTGAGTATCTTTGTTTTGAATAAAAATGTACACCAAAGATCTTAGTGTTAGTAATATACAAACATCCATGGTCATGCATTAATTTCTTAGAAAACTTCACTGAGCTTCTCTCTGTTATCACATCAGACTTCAATCATCTTCTCATAACTGGTGACTTCAACATTCACGTTGATGATGCAAATGATAAAGCTGCAATACAATTCCTTGGAATACTTGAACTATTTGACACTGTCCAGCATGTTCCAACACACACTCTAGGTCACACACTAGACAATCGTAACCAAAGATGTTGATGTACCAGACATTATTGTTAAGGATGTTGGCCTCTCTGATCATTTCTGGTTTTTTCGGAGATATCCGTTTTACCCTTTATCCAGCATAACTCAGCTGTTCTGAAAAAAATGTATTTAATTGATAACACTGCATCAGTTTTTAGTGAACTTATGATTATGTCATCTCGTCTGCCAACCAACTGTGTTGATTCCCTTCTAACACTTCAACAGCAAAACTCTAGGGGCCATTGATGCCATCGCTCCAGAAAAGTAAAAAATTGTCCCTGGCAAACAAAGCTCTATTCAATTCAAATTCAATTAAAAAAAACTTTAATAATCCCCAAGGGGATATGGAGGTTCACTAAATCAGTAACAAACCAAAAGAGAGAATGTTGCAAAGCTGAGCATGAATAAAAAGTAATTTTCTTGATCACTACCAGTCCTACAGACAGCAGCTGCGTACTTATAACTTAGAATTAAATAAGGCGAGACAAGCTTTTTTCTCTAAAGTGATCAACATTAACAATTCTCGTGTTCTCTTTGCCGCTGTCGAGAGGCTAACTCATCAACCAACACAGTTGGCTCCTGATTTCATGTCCCAATCTAAGTGTAATGAGTTTGCAATTTTTTTTCTATGAGAAAATCTTAAACGTTAGATTAGCCATTCACTCCTCCATGTCAACCAATACAACCAGACCACAGCTACAACCACACAACACTCTAGCTGGCTGGCTAACACTAACTGGCTTGAATGCCAGTTTTCAATATGATTAGTTCCAAAATACTAGAGGACATAGTTAAGAGCTTAAAATCATCTACCTATTGTCTTGATTTACTACCAAGCATAGGCGTCATTTTAACCGAGGACGCCGGGGACATGTCCCCGGCAAAATTTGTGATTGGCAGCTGTGTCCCCCCGACTTTCAAAAACGCCTGCTGATGAGGATTTTTGTTTTACCAGCTCAGATCTTATACCAGGGGTCGGCAACCTGTTCCCATCAAAGAGCCATTATTACCCATTTCCCACAGTAATTTTGGACGGACCTTAATAAGCAGTGACTTAAGGGAAGCAGGCAGGTCGCGCTAGAAAATTTCGTTTAAAAAGACGTCATAAATGTTTTCCCCCGTCATTTTTATTTATAAAATATGAATATAACAATTTAATTTACATTCATTTGTCATTAATATGTAGTCTACACCCATGCGTTAAGTGGACCATCTTCCAGTAAACGCAAAGCATCCAGCCCACCTCTCCAAATGCGTAAAATGTGCATCAGCCGCTAGTTAGGCGCTTCGCGCGCACCATCAGCTGATCAGCCCAGACAAGAGCAGAGCAAATAGAGACAGAATAGAGGATAATTGTGTCTGGATGTGGATGGAGATTACATTTTACAGCAGCCTGATCATCATTTAAATACGTAAACCATCACCTGGCTTCTAGTCCACGCTATGAGCATTATTTTAATTGGTGTGTGTGTGTGTGTGTGTGTGTGTGTGTGTGTGTGTGTGTGTGTGTGTGTGTGTGTGTGTGTGTGTGTGTGTGTGTGTGTGTGTGTGTGTGTGTGTGTGTGTGTGTGTGTTTTCCACTTCAAACACTGGTCTAACCAACCAGACCAGTGTGTCCAGTAACATATTAATGTTACAATTAAACAGTTTCACTTCATGTAGGCTAGGAACGTTTCACCTGCCGTGGCCCGACCGCTTCTGCTCCACATAAACTTTGTGCGTGATCAAATGTCTCTACGCGTCATGCGTCTCCATATTAGAGACGGAAACAAGCGCTGTTCAGCCAAAGTTTCATAATTTCATAAAAAGAACATTTTTCCAAGTGACACATCCCTCAGAGAGACCGGGTTTCCAGACTGTTTCAGTGGGAGGAAATCTTATCGCATGCGGCGTGGTTCTGCACTGCGCTGCGAACCAGATCTTCAGCTCACTGTCCACCGTGGGCGCTCCGAGCCGCGCTGAACACAGTGTCCAGTATAAAGCTCTGATGTTCTGATGGGAATATTTTACCTCCGCGATGTGCGTTAACGATTAAAATGTCAGCTCATCCATGCGCATCCGTGTGCGTCTGGGTAATTATTTCAAACCAAGCAACATCCTTGAGTTCATCTGTCAAAATAAACAGTCAAATGGAAATATCTGTAACCTGCCATTTAACTGTTTTGCCTTCCTGTGAAGATTGTTGCAAAGAGAAACAATTAAACTTGATTAACCCCAGAGAACCAGAGCGCATGTGGAAGGTTCCTCCCACTGAAGCGAGTGTTTTCCAAACCCTGTCTCTCAGAGAGACTTGTCACTTAGAAAATGTTCCCTGATTATGAAACTTTGGCTGAATAGTGCTTGTTCCTGTCTCCAATGTGGCGACACATCCAGGAGCCGTCTGAGGAGAATCCCAGAATCTCACATCCTCTTCAGCTCATAAAGCGCCTATATGATTACGCACAAGCGTGACGCGCCAACCCGGTCTCACAGTAAGACCGGGTTGGACCTGTTCAGGTTTACGCAGACAATCTTTACATTTAGAATAGGCATACAGATGTAAAATTAATGCAGTAAAATATAAAGCATTTTATTTAAATATCCATTCATTATTTTACAAGCAGAGAGCCGCATCAGATGGATGGAAGAGCCGCATGCGGCTCCAGAGCTGCGGGATGCCGACCCCTGTGCTAGCCTACTTTATTGTCCCCAGCAATTCTGAAAACAAACTGACGCCCTTGCTACCAAGTAACTTTTTTAAAAATGTCTTTGATTGCATGAAAGTTGATGTACAGAAAATTGTTAATTTCTCCTTAATGTCAGGTATTTTTCCTAATTCATTGAAAACTGTTAAGCCTCTTCTGAATTTCTTCTCAATTTCTAATCTGCCCTTCAATGGAAAATTGTTGAAAAGCAGTTATGATCCAGCCGAAACACTTCTTGGAGACAACCTCCTGGGTGGTTTTCAGTCAGGCTTTAGACAACACCACAGCATGGAGACTGCACTGATGAAAGTATTAAATTATATCAGTATTAATACAGATTCAGGAAAAACATCTGTTTTAGTGATGCTCGATCTCAGTGCACATTTTGATACTGTGGACCACCACATCATTTTTTATAATGATTTGACTAATGA